AACTCAAATGCCATCATCATAGCCAGTACCCGAGCTTTCACAAAACTCAGCAGCAGGAGCTTGCCGGACAAGCCTCTCAGGAATCCACCGTGCGCCATTTTTGTTTTCTGGGAAAACACAAACGGATCCTCGCCCCCATATGAGGATGGGATCTGGGCCTTGCCACTGACCAGTCAAGGGATCCTTCCACAACATATAACCCTTCTGCTTCTGAGACGGATTCCAATAACAATCTGCAGCTGACTGTTCTTCAGCATCCAGTGTTGGAAAATTTAAGATAAATAATACAAGGTTCAAATAATCTCGGGGAGTGCTATATTCTCCTTTTTTTTTTTTTAATAAGATAATCCTTAATAGTACGGTTGGCGCGTTCCACACTACCTTGTCCTAGAGGATTATAAGGAGTGCCTGTACTTAGCTATATATAGTGGGAGGCAGCAAAATTACAAAACTTACTGCTGGTATAGCAGGGGCCATTATCAGTTTTAATGACTTTGGGAGTTCCTAATATGGAAAAACATGCATAGCAATGGGCTAGAGCATGCCTGACTTGTTCCTCTAAGGAGTAGCTAGAATAAATCTCAGCTGCTTCACTGAGTTATTTTTATAAAAGAAGGAAAATAAAATAAAAGTCTCTGGCAGGGGAGGAGACATGGATTCATTAAAAAAAAAAGAAAAGGGTCCGGCGCGGTGGCGCAGTGGTTAAGGTCCTTGCCTTGCACGCCCAGGATCCCATATGGGCCCTGGTTCTCTCCTGGTGGCCCCACTTCACTTCCAGCTCCCTGCCTGTGGCCCGGGAAAGCAGTCGAGGACGGCCCAAAGCTTTGGGACCCTGCACCCGCATGGGAGACCCGAAAGAGGCTCCTGGGTTCGGATCGGCATAGCATCAGCCGTTGCGCTCACTTGGGGAGTGAATCATCGGACAGAAGATCTTCCTCTCTGTCTCTCCTCTCTGTATGTCCGCCTTTCCAATAATAAAATAATAAAAATAAATCTTTAAAAAAAAAGAAAAGAAAAGAAAAAATTTGGAGTGTTTTTCCAAAGATTTTTTGGGGATTATTATTTTTTTTAATAGTAAATGTGTGTTCCGATGCCGGAGCACACACTCTTCACTCCCAGCACTAATCGCTGGAGAGAAGGGTCATATCATGGAATATCTTAATGATTTATTTCTGTGTGCTTTTGAATAATCCTCTAATCATTTTTCCCATTTGTTTTCAGGCATATCATCAATTTCTGTCTTCACAGTCTAACATTGAAAAATTGCATTGCCTTTGGGGAGTCATTATGTCTTCTATGGTTTTGTTTCTTCTGTATCAGTACTTAATTTTTAGGCATTTGTGGAAATACCGGTTTTTCCCTGATGGATTTATCTTTGAACTTTGCCTCTGTGCCTGGTTCAATGCAGGTCCAGAGAAGTGTTCAGGCTGAAGCCAGCGCTCAGGTGTAGGGTACGAGTCCAGGGTGATGTGAGGCTGGGTGACATAGACTTGTGTCAGCATTGGGGAGAGCGTGAGCATGACTTGTTAGCGCAGTCAGCAGCTTACTTCCTCTGCTTCACAGCACTCCATACCAGGGTCGGCGCCCTTCACGCAAGCACATGAACCCTGCTGTGACATACCTTGTGCAACTTGAGAGCTTTTAGTCTCTGGTGTCAGACGCATTGAATGCCCAGAGAGTCAGCTGCATGTCACACCCAATAAAAAAATAATAAAAATACACACCTGTGTCATGCAGTCACACAGGGCTGAGGACCCAGTGAGCCTGTCCTGCCCACAGAGAGCAGTGCCCACAGTGCAGTGCCCACAGTGCCCACAGTGCCCACAGAAGTGCTGCAGCCGCTGGCTGCCTTCACGGGTCTGTAGGTGGCAGTATGCACCCATTGGTCTGGGCCTCCCTGAATGGCCATGGGAGGAAAGAAGGGACTCATGGATGCTCTTCCTCCTGCCCTGCTCCACTCTGAACCCCAGGTCACCATCTCCCTAGAATTCTGTGTTGGGCAGTATTGCTCCCAGTCCTGAGTTTCATAGTTGGAATGTGCTGAGCCACTGTGACCTTTACTGAATTCAAAATGACATTGACTCCTCACTGGTCCAGGCAAGAAAGGAAGGAGAGATGATCACCTCCCATGATGTTCTGGGGGTCCTGTCTCCTGCCTCCTGCCCCACTGTAATAGTCCAATCTGGAAGTCAGTGTTTTCTGCAAGATTCCGTGTCAAGCAGTATCACCAGCCACCTTGCCTGTCCCCACTTCTCTAGCCCTGGGCTGCAGGAGCCTCTGGTGGTATTCCTGCTGGTCCTGTGTGCTGTGCACACTTCATGGCGTCTCTGCTGTCCGCAGTACTTCCCCAGTAGGCCTCTCTCCAACTGTCCCCTGGCAATGTACCTCCTGTCCTCTACCCACTTCCCTGGTCAGAATCACTGTGTCTGCTCCTTATTTGGCCATCTTGGACTTGTGGCTGTGGTTTCATGGTGTCCTTTGTGGCCTGCTGTCCTAGCCAGGCCTTTGTGGAGGTCAGGTCATGTCCCTCACGTGGGAGCTGACTACCAGATGCTATTAGGGTTGTCTTCAGGATGGTTTGAGCAAAGCATTCCAGATATGTGCAGACCCATCTAAGTGGGGAAGAGCAGGAACAGGGCACAGGCTCTCTGTCCTGGCATCCAAGCACTGCTGCCTCTAGCTTTTAGAAATGGAGGAAGTTGGGCCCGGTGTGGTGGCGCAAGTGGGTTAAGGTCCTCGCCTTGCACGCCCAGGATCCCATATGGGCGCCGGTTCTATCCCGGCAGCCCTGCTTCCCTTCCAGCTTCCTGCCTGTGGCCCAGGAAAGCAGTCGAGGACGGCCCAAAGCTTTGGGACCCTGCACCCGCATGGGAGACCCGAAAGAGGCTCCCGGGTTCGGATCGGCATAGCATCAGCCGTTGCGCTCACTTGAGGAGTGAATCATCGGACGGAAGATCTTCCTCTCTGTCTCTCCTCTCTGTATGTCCGCCTTTCCAATAATAAAATAATAAAAATAAATCTTTAAAAAGAAAAGAAATGGAGGAAGTTGCTTCTGCTCCATAAAACAGTCTCCACAAAAGGGCAGATGTATGAGTGTGTGTGAGTCTATACACACCTAAGTCTTGCTGGTTGAGCACCGTGTCAGGGTTTGGTTGCAGGCACCACAGTCAGCATTAGCACATCCTGGCCATGCTGATCAGGCCTGTGGTGCAGATATAACTGGCCTCAATGGGAAACACGCCTGGGGCAGCAGCTCCGAGCCCCTGGTGTGAATGGACAGCAGTGCTGGCCCAGACACCACAGACATATGTCCTCTGGTGTGAGTGGATGGCTGTGCTGGCCCAGACACCATGGACACATGGCCTCCTAGGGTGTGAGTGGATGGCAGTGCTGGCTCAGGCATCACAGGCACACAGCCTCGGGTGTAAGTGGACAGCAGTGCTGGCCCAGACACCATGGACACATGACCTCCTGTGTGAGAGTGGATGGCAGTGCTGGCCCAGACTCCACCGGCACACAGCCTTTATTGTGAGTGGACTTCCAAGGAGTTGGCTGTTGGCCAGAGCAGTGCCCAGAGCTGTTGGGCAGTAGGTGGGCAGCAGGACTCAGGACCCTGTTGTGAAGAGGGTCCTGGAGCAGACATAGGTGAATGGGAATTACTGTCCTGTCTCCCTTCTGGTTCTACATGAGTACAATAACCCAGGATCCTCTAGTGAGAGCCTGGGGATATCTTCCTGAGAAAGCTGATGTCCACCCTTCTGGAGGTGGCTGAGGAAGCAGGTTCTGGACAGGCAGTATGTCCAGAGCGGATAGGATTGTTCTGGAGGTCAGTACAGCCTGGTGGTCCTGACTGAACCCAGCCACATGGACCCAGGAATGTGAGAGAAACTGGGAGAGGGTGCTTGGATCTTTAGAGTCACATGACCAGTGTTAGGTGTTGTGTGTCACAGCTGCAGCAGTGCAAGAAGGCAGAGCTTTCCCAAGTGTCAGACTAGAGCCAGAAGCAGTGGTGGAGGGGAGACATGTTTTACAGCCACTAAAACAGAAACCAGAAAGTAAGGCAACTGTGTGTATCGATGAATGTCAGTGTTCAGCTGGAAGTTTTCAGATTGTAGCTGCATATTGGATGAGTGAGGACACCAGAGAGCCAACCACTCACATGTGTGAAGACAGGAAGGGTACTGGACTGATGGGCAGATTGGGGAGGGGGTGATTTAGAGAAGGAGCCGTGAGGCTGCAGTGACGACTGGGTGGGGTGCAAGTGTGTAGGGTGTTTGCAGGTCTATATGGTATGTGGAGGTATATGTGTACAGATGTGTGTGGTGCAGGTTTGGTGTGTGCAAGGGTGTGTGTAGGTGTTTGGTCTATGCAGGTGTATGTGTATAGATGTGTGTACAGATGTATGGGGTGTTTGTAGGTCTATGTGTGTGGTCTGTGTGTGTGTGTGTGGATGTGTGTGGGATGTTTGCAAGTCTATGTGCAGGTGTGTGTGTTTGTGTATGGATGTGTGTGGGGGTGTTTGCAGGTCTGGTGTGTGCAGGTGTGGGGTTTTGCAGGTCTATGTATGTGGTGTGTGTGTGTATAGATGTGTGTGCAGGGGTGTGGGTTATGTTTACAGGTCTATGTGGTGTGTGCAGGGATATGCATGTGTCACAGCAGATCTGTCCTCGTGGTCTCTGTGACATTGATTTATGGTGGGGATTTCTAGGTCATCTTTCATTTCTTGGTTGACCAAATTGCTGCTTCAAGTTTAGGTCTGGTTTTTTGCTTTTAATATTTTGGTTTTCATTACATTGAAAGGTAGGAAGTCTGGCCTAATCCTGAACGAATATTTGTCAGGGGTCAAGCTTCCCAGCCTGTGTCCCATCTGCTTACTTGATGGCCATTGGCTGTATCACTCAGCTCTTCCCACTGCCTGGTGACCATCGGCTGGGTCACTCAGCTGTTCCCCTTGTCTTTCCTTCGTCTGTGTTGCTCAGCTCTTTCGCTCTGCCTTCTAGCTGCTGGAGCTCATTGCAAAGTCCCAGCTGACATCCCTGAGTGGAGTAGCACAGAAGAACTACTTCAGCATTCTGGATAAAATTGTTCAGAAGGGTAAGCACAACAGTGTTAAATCAACGATGTTAAAACGGTGTTTTAATCAGATCCTGACAAGAACCTGCCTGTGATTACTCTGTGCCTGAGAGGTACCTCTCCATCCCAGGGATCCCTTCTTATCAAAGCTGTCACTGAGAAGTCTAGGAGTCAGTAATCTCCTGTTTAATTTGTGAGCCTGCTTGTTAGCTAGTGATTAGTAAATGGAACTTCAAATTTCACACTATATTTTCATAAACTTTTTAATTCTTTTTACAACAAAGGCATAAGAAAGTAAAAACCATTACATTGAAATTACAGACCCTACTGAAAATAGCAGTCAGGCGCAGTTGTAAAGTTTCAGGTCTTGACCACACCTACAGGTCACAGTGACAGGGAACCGTGGTTGTCCACTGTGTACAGTCCTCAGGAGTTGCCAGCCTTGAGACATTGTGTGACTGCCACCAGAGGTGTTTCCACTGCCAACTGAGAACCCATAAAACAAATCCCTGCCACCCCTCCCAGCCCCAAATGGATGCATTGTGTGTTGCTGGGCCTTTGTGTTCCTGCGGTCTGCAGTGTACCCTCCTGGGCCTGCTGGTCAGAGGTGTGCAATGTGCTCTTCTGGGCCTACTGGTCAGGGTATGCAATGTGTCCTCCTGGGCCTGCTGGTCAAGGGTATGCAGTGTGCTCTCCTGGCCCTATGTGTCCCTGGGGTATGCAGTGTGTCCTCCTGGGCCTGCTGGTCACAGGGCTTGGGGGGGGGGCGAAGGTGTGTTGCTTCTGGGTCCATGTGTTGTTTTGCTGCTTGTGGGGCCGTGGATAGAGCTTTGTGATCTCAGCTCTGTTTTCTGTCTAGTTCTCAGGGACCACCACAATCCCCGCCTTGTCAAGAACCTGCTGCAGGCTCTAAGCTCCACACTGTGCATGCTCCTCAGAGGGGTTGGCAAGTCCGTCCTTGTGGGCAACATCAACATCTGGGTCTGCCGCCTGGAGACCATCCTTGCCTGGCAGCAGCAACTACAAGACCTGCAGATGACACAGGTCAGTCTGTCGTGCTGTGTAGACAGAGTCAGCTCCAGGGAGGTCTGCCCTGCTCTGTAGACAGTCACCTGTAGGTGCCATTGGTATGGGTTATCCTCAGCTGTGAGCAGCCCAGGATGCTAGGACTGTCTGATTTAGGGTGTCTCGCCCCCAGCCAGGCACCAGCTCCTGAGCAGCTGCAGGCTAGCTTTGTGCCTCTGCAATTTGCATACAGGCTCCTGGCCCACAAGGTCACACTTTAAAACAAATTCATCACTGTGTGTGCCCCCACATGCATGTGGCTCCCTCTGTATCTCAGGATTGTACTGGTGGGGACACAGGACAAGAGGGCCTATGCCAGACCACACAGCAGCCCCCTGGTCATCCACACAGCCTCCCTCCATGGTTGTCCACACAGCCTCCCTCATTCCCCTGTGGTCATCCACACAGCCTCCCACTATGGTCATCCACACAGCCCCAGCACACACCCCCCCCATAGTTATCCACACAGCCTTCCCCTATGGTCGTCCACACAGCCTCCTCCTATGGTCATCCACATAGCCTCACCTGGTCGTGGACCATGGAAGGCTCATAGCATGGCCAGGATATTGGGCTGCTGCACAACAGCCTTGGGCATGTCTGGTGAACCCAGAGTGCTGATAAGAGAGCAGGTCCTGTACCCTGTGCTGCCCATGGGATGCCCAGGAAGGACTCTCAGAGGCTGCACCCTCGCAGGACATGAAGGGAGCAGAGCTAGGTGACAGAAAGGGGCTTTTAATACCTCTCCCTATGTCCCGCACACCTGTCAAACAAGCTGTAACTGTCCAGGTGATGCACCAAGCTCAGATCATGTTGGTCATCCAGGCCTGGGCACCAGGGCTGTTTCTTAGGAGGGGTTCATCAGCATGACAGGGTGGAGTTCAACCCCAGCATAGGCCACCCAGGTTGGCTCCAGAGCAGGTGGACCCAGGAATGAGGCCTGACTGCAGGGCCTATTGGCTGCATGCCCACCTCTGAGCAGCAGCTCCAATGCAGGCCACCCTGGCCTCTGGGCCCACAACAGGAAGAAAAAGGTTCATCATGTCCACAGTGTCACTGCCTCAGAGACCATGCTAGGTGTCGGTGGGGAACAGACAGACCTGTGTCTGGTAGAGTGGGAGGCCCTGTCCTGGATGCAGCTCCTGACAGCAGTAGGCAGGACGAGGGGATACTGCTGGACGCCTGGGGCCTTGCAGCCAGCCTCAGCTGCTGCTCTACTGCACTTCAGCAAGTGGACACAGGACTCACGCTCGTTGACCTTCCTCTGCACATGCTGAGCAACATCTTGTACCGCTTCTCGGATGGCTGGGACATCGTGACGCTGGGCCAGGTGACCCCCACACTGCACGTGCTCAGTGAGGACAGGCAGCTGTGGAAGAAGCTGTGCTTGTACCACTTTGCTGAGAAGCAGGTGAGGAGGCCACATAGCTGCACCCTGCCCTGCAGCTGCACCCAGGCCCTTCAGCTCAGAGTAACCCTGCTTATGGCACCCTAGTCCGTGTTTCTTCCCATCCCCTCAGCCACACAACCCCATGGGCAGTGTGCTTTATAGTGCAGGTGCTTGTCTCCTAACACTGTGGCCTTACCTGTTGTCCCTCGTCTACCTAGGGCCCTGCTCACTGGCCACTCTCCCTGAGCCAATGTCCTAGGGCTCTGAGCTGTGCAGGAGGCAGAGCTTCCTCCTCTTCAGGGCTGTGTGATGTCCATGGTGGTCATCAGGCCATGACCTCCTCTGTCAGTGTGCCTTGGTCTGTTGCACCTGCAGCTCTGTGAGCTATGCTGGAGCAGAGACAGGTGTGTAAACTGGAGGCCTCCCCTCTCCAGGACCACACACAGGCCGTGGTGCCAGGTGTGGACTGGAGGCCTCCCCTCTCCAGGACCACACACAGGCCATGGTGCCAGGTGTGGACTGGAAGCCTCCCCTCTCCAGAACCACCACGCACTGGCCGCAGGACCAGGTGTGGACTGGAGGCCTCCCGTCTTTAGGACCACACACAGGCCATGGTGCCAGGTGTGGACTGGAGGCCTCCCCTCTCCAGGACCATACACAGGCCGTGGTGCCAGGTGTGGACTGGAAGCCTCCCCTCTCCAAAACCACCACGCACTGGCTGCAGGACCAGGTATGGACTGGAGGCCTCCCGTCTTTAGGACCACACACAGGCCATGGTGCCAGGTGTGGACTGGAGGCCTCCCCTCTCTCCAGGACCACACATAGGCTCTGGGGGCAGGCGTGGACTGGAGTGGTGTTGTGAATGTTGTATCATAGCTGTGAGCCCCTTCCTGGGTTTTATGTGGGCCCCGACTCAGTCCAGGCCTGTAGGCAGCAGCTGCCCAGTGCCTCTTGGACAGAGATCTGCTCTAGGGGGTTTATCTTCCATGCCCAACTCCAGTGATGTGTCAGCATGCCCCGTGTGTGAAGGCCGGTTTGCTCTGGCTCAGTGTGACTTCCCTACTCAGTTTTGCAGACACCTGATCCTGTCAGAGAAGGGCCATGTTGAGTGGAAGCTGACATACTTTGCACTCGAGAAGCACTACCCAACCAGGGAGCAGTATGGAGACACCCTGCACTTCTGCCGGCACTGCAGCATCCTATTCTGGAAGGTACTGCAGTTAGAACTGGGGGTCTGGGTGGGTACCCTGCTTCCGCCCTGGTCTGTGAGCTCCCTGTTGACTGGGGGGGAGCAGTGGGCATCCCTGCTCTCACCCTGGTCTGTAAGTTCCCTGTGTGCTGAGGGGTGTGGTGGGTGCCCTGCTCCTGCCCTGGTCTGTGAGCTCCCTGTTTGCTGAGGGGAGGAGTGGGTGCCCTGCTCCTGCCTGATACCTGGTGGATCTGCTTCAGAGCCATTTGATAGGCACAGTCAGACCCTTGGCGCTCCTGCTGTTCCCTATGGCAGATGGCACCCTTATCGTGCAAGTCCCTGCTCTAACTGCAGCAGGTGACCAGGGCTGTGTTGTGGTAAGTGGCACTGGACAGAACATGTCCACTGTGCCAGCCTGCTCTTTGGTTGTAACCACCGCCCCTCAGAATCACATCCATGCTCAGGCGAAAGAACATTTCTGTGCTGACCTCCCTCCCCTATCAGACCAGACATGGGGCCCATAACAGCCAAAGTGGTCTCACATCCTGCTGCCCTTCCAGAAGTTTCTTCCAGGATTAAAATGTCTGGATACCTGGGGAAGCGACCACAGCCACACAGGCAGGTGGGCAGCCATGGTTGTCCCCTCTGGAGTGGATATCTCCTGTGGTCACATCCCTCTGTCCCCATGAGCAGATGTCCTGGCCATACAGGGGAGGGTGCCATTCTCTGAATAAGCATGGTGGTGGTCCACATTACACAGGACCCTGATCACAGTGAGAAGCCGCCTGGGCCTCCCCAGGAGCAGTGGTCACAGCTACATTTCAATGGCTGAGTCCTCACAGGCTGCTGTCCCCGTGTATGCGTGCCGTGCGGCCCATGACTTCATTTCTCAGGGACTGACTGTTATCTTTTTTTAAAGATTTATTTATTTATTTATTACAAAGTCAGATATACACAGAGGAGGAGAGACAGAGAGGAAGATCTTCCATCCGATGATTCACTCCCCAGGTGAATGCAATGGCTGGTGCTGTGCTTATCCGAAGCCGGGAACCAGGAACCTCTTCCAGGTCTCCCATGTGGGTGCAGGGTCCCAAAGACTTGAGCCGTCCTCAACTGCTTTCCCGGGCCATAAGCAGAGAGCTGGATGGGAAGTGGGGCTGCTGGGATTAGAACTAGCACCCATATGGGATCCTGGCACGTTCAAGGCGAGGACTTTAGCCACTAGGCCATGCCGCCGGGCCCAACTGTTGGTTATCAATCTGAGATGGAAGTGACCGGCAATTCCTTTGGACTCACTGCCTCGCATGGATGCTGGGAGCTTGTCCTGGGAGCCTGTCTTGGCACGTGGCGTTGCTGTGAGCACCACACTAGCCCTGATAGCCCACTGTGGTCTGGCTCTTCTAACTCTGGCTTCTCTCTTTTGCTCCCCTCACTGCACTCCTTGCCGATTCGTGTGCTAAAGGACTACCACCTTGCTTTACTCTTCAAGGTACTGCCCTGTGGCATGTGAGTGATTGGCCCCCACAGCAGCTGAGCAGGACCAAGCCTGTGGGGCACCAGCCGAGAGGGCACCACATGGGTTGACCTGAGACAGATGCATGGGCCCCACCACCTGGGTCCTGCGGGCTGGCTGGTGCTCCTCCACAAAATGCATGTCTTTGTGTCCCTTCTAGGCAGTAGAATCCTGTCAACACCACCCCTAGCCTCCACAGCAGCCTCCTTGGGGCAAGGCACGCAGGAAGGTGGGGAGGGAACAATGTGGGGCAGAGGCAAATGCCTGCATCTGATGTGGCGCCTCAGCCACACAAGCTTTCCAGGCCACCTGCTGCGGGAACTCAGATGCTGGTGCAGTTCAGGACTTAAGTTAGAGGTGGGCCGGTTGCCACATGGCCATGGGCAATACTTGCTGCCTGTCTCCAGGGACACGGCTGGTGGTGCTGCTGCATCTGACCTGTGTGCTCTCCTCGCAGGACTCGGGACACCCCTGCACCGCAGCTGACCCTGACAGCTGTTTCACACCTGTGTCCCCCCAGCATTTCATCGACCTTTTCAAGTACTGAGGCCACTGTTGCCGCTGTATACCCACATGCAGCTGGCAGTAGCTGTTTCTGTGACCAAACACGATGATCAGGGCTGGGGACCGCGGCATCCTCCCTTGAGGCTGAAGCTTTCTGGAAGAACCGGAAGAGCATACCGCTCCCTGGGCCTGGCCTGGAGCCAGCATGGGGTGGGGGTGGAGGACACAAGCAAATCATTTTTCCCTAAGTTCCTTTTCTTCTAATGATATTACAGTTTGTAATTTTGCATATTTTATAAAAATGGACCAAAATACTTGGGTTTTCAATCCCACATTCTGTGCTGAATGGACACAAATGGCCAAGAATTGCTTCTTAATTGTTGAATTTTAGCTTCCTAATTTTATGGTCATTAGAGGTGGAGGTAAAAGAGTTGATCATTGTAAATACATTGTGCAGAATATTTATTTTTTTTCCTTAAAGTGTATTTTGACAACTTCATTGGCTGTGCCCACGTGAGCCTCTCTGGATGCACATTGACCTGGGCACTTCCAGCTGCCAGCAGCTAACGTGCGTGGGGCTTTGAGCAGTGCAGGCCACCTGTAGCCAGGAGCTGGCCTGTACTGCTCGCTGCATCTGACTACTTTGATAGACAAAGTCCTACATCATGTGTGCTGACCACACTGTGCAGTTTCCCATAATGCTAAAACACTGTTAAGTGATTTTGATATTGTTTACTTAAGTCTTTAAAAGACTTCTGTTTTTAAAGTAAAACATGTCAATTGCAGAAAATTCTGAAAATAAAAGGCCTATAAAGGAAATAAAATTGATCCATTATCCTAGCACGCAGAGATTCCTGTGATTGTGAAACAGTAAGAAAATGTGTGCCTCGGGCGCTCTCGTCCTCTTGGAATGGTAGGGTGCTGAGCAAGCCAGTCCTCCTTACACACTTGACTGCTGAGCATGTCGGGATATGCAGTTTGCCTATTGGTCACTAGTTAGGACAACACAGATTGGGCTCAAAGGCTCATGTTCTCTACCAAGGGACCCAGGCTGTGCTTGTGCTCAAGGCCCTGCGCAGACACCTGCAGATGTACACGTGAGCCTCGAGTGTCTCTCCTGCACCTAAGCACTGAGTATGCTTGTGTGTTCTCCACATGTATCCCACACATACTGTGTTCAGCTTTACTTTATCATCTCATGACAGGCTATGTGAACATGAAACATTCTCCCATCCATGTTAAGACAGATCACGCACCACACCCCATGATGCACTGGGTTCAGCCTCCTGTCACAACTAGTCCATAAACTAACTGCTCTACTTGATGTTGTATGAACATTCTGACCTCCGTGTGATGGCAGATCACACACCCCACATGCTGCTTCTCTTGTGAACAGAATCCTCAGCACCTCAGACTGCCTCAAGTTATGCACATATCCACAAGGTGGCCTACGTTACATTCTCTACACAGACATGCAAACATCCCACATTCCAGCTCTCTATTTTGGGTTCCTAGAAACACTGCACTACACTACACTACACTTCGTTTTACGACTAGCCCATGAAAACCCTGCATCCCACTTCATTTAATGACTAAACCCAATAACATAATTTCTATTTCATTTTATGCACAAACCCATAAAAACTTTCTGTTACACTTCATTTTATGACCAGTACAGAAAGCACTATATTTTACTTCATTTTACGGCTGAGAGAACAAACATCCTCCATTTCTCTTCTTTATGTGGGCAGACCTAAAAATCCCCTTGCATTCCATTTTATACCCATCTCTTTTAAAACACTATGTACCCCATGATCAATGTATGACAATCCCCATGAACACCTTCCATTCCACCACATTTTATGCATAGCCCCATCAGCACCCCAAATTCCACTTCCTCTTAATGACCAACATCTCCCTATCTTGTGTTCCACTTCCTTTTAGGACACCGCATGAACATTCGTTTTATGAATGAATGCACTTAATGACTTATATTTCAACTTAGACCAGGCATAAAAACTCTGCATCCCACTTCATCTAATGACCAGGCTGTGAACACCATGATTCCCACTTCATGTCATGAACAGACCACCAGCACCCTACATTCAATCACATTTTACGACTGGCCACATGAGCACCCAGTGTTCTGTTACCAACTCCAACAAGCATTCCTCTTCATTTTATGACCAGCTCCATGAACATCCTTCATTCTACTTCATTTTTTTAGCCATTTTTCTAAGTGTTGACCTATTAATTACTTGCAAATTTTCTGTGCAGCATCAGCTGGGCAACCAGCTTTGTCATCATAGCGTTGGGCTGTTCAGGCTCCTGCTATTAACACTGCTAACTCCAGCCTGCATTGTGGCAAATTGTGTGTGCTTGTGCGTCTGTGGGGAACAGTGGGGTGCCCAGTTGTTCATCCAGCAGTGCCTGTGTGTCTGTGGGCAACAGCAGTGGACCCAGCTGGTCATCCAGCAGTGAAGGTGTGTCCATGGGTAACAGCGGGGGACCCAGTTGGTCATTGCAGCTGTTTCCAGTGTCCATGTGTCCTTGCAGGTGCTCACAAGAATGAAGCAAGTGAGTGAGTGACTGTGGTCCAAAGCACTCTGCCTTCATGGAGTGAATGTTCTCTTCAGTTTTTCAGACATTGAAAGGTTCAGTCTTCTTTAAGCATTTGGTAGAATTCTCAGGGAAGCTGTCCAGGGGATTTGTTGGTGCTGACCTGGCTTCTTCCTTCCTGCTTGTCCCAGTTGGATGTGTATGTCTAGCAGTTTTCCCAGATTGTCCTGTGTTTCTTCTCTTGCTGCCCCTCTGGGTGCCATGGCCTGGTTTTCATTTCCTTGCTCTGGGAGTTTTTTAGTTTCCCATCCCTTTGGTGACTTGATATCCACATGTAAGGGATCTTCCTTTTTCCTCCTGCTCTTGATATCTAGTTTCACCCCATGGTGACCCAAAAAAGACACTTTGGCTGTTTTGTTGCTGAAACACCAGGTACCAGAGGGAGACACTGGCTGTGGTATCTGCAAAGACTCCCTGACATTCAGTAAAGCACCATTGTCTGCCTGGTGAAATGCTGGAATACTGGGAGTCCTTGGAAGTCCTGAGGATGACCATAGCTGAGGAGGATGGAGGGGTGGGTGGTAGCACTGGGGTGGGCTTCCTGGCCCCACTGCAGCCCATCCAGGTGGACACAGACACCCCACAAAGCTAAGGACAGTTCTCATACATCCTTGGTCACAAAGTGTTCCACCTCCCACCATCACAAACCTGAAGGCTGACATGGTTGGGGCCACACTTGTCCACAGCCTGCAGCATGTCAACATCCACCTTGTACTCCGTGTCTCCTTTTTGATGTGTTCCAATTGAACATGGAAAACAGTTATGGTTTTTGTCCTTGTCACTGTTTTAAGATGGCCAAAGTAACATGAACTGAAAAGGCAGAAACAAGGGGGACTAGTAGTCAATGGGCTTTGTCCTGGGTGGCCACAAGATTGGCTCTCAGCAGCCTTTGCCTTTAGGAAGTCCTGAGATGGCCAAGTCTGTGTGCACTGTTGTGCCCCAGCCCTAGATCCTGGCACCATAGCTCCTGTGTGCCCCAGGGCCATGCCTGGGCTCCCACTCATCCCCACAACTCCTGCCTGGGCTCCAGGGGACTGTATCTTCCCTGTGCTCTGGAGCCCACAGTACTCTTCTTATCTCCACCTGGAAGAGCCTTGAACCCCAGCAGTGTGAGTGTGTGCCTCCACCAAGGGAAATATTCATAGCATTGTTTGGGGACCATGTAAAATTGCCAGCTAAAATTAGCCAAAATATGGGTGCTACTGAGTGCCATGGGTCACTGCCACCTGCAGCACCAGTATCCTATATGGCACAGGCTCAGGTCCTGGAAGCTGCCCTTCCAAACCCACTCCCTGGGTTGGCAGTGGAGGATGCCTAGGGTCTTGGCCATTGGGAACCATCTTCTGGAATCAATGAAAGCCCAACTCTCTGATCCTGGGCCAACTGGCTGAGCTGCTCAGGCAGCCGGTCCAGCAGTCAAGTAGAGGGGAAAGGTCAGGTCCCGAGTGGTACATGAAGGGTTAGTGATCAATAACAAGCTGCCTGCAGTTCTCCAACATTGTTACCTCAGCTGCCAGCAGCAGGCAGTGCACCCGTGTGCGAAGTGTGTTCTGTGAACATAGAAAATCCCCACTGTTTACCTTCCTCACACAACATCCTGTTTCTCATGGAGCTGCACACTACTGATGACTGATCACTTATGTCACTGCTGATAAAAATCTGGAAAAAAACACACTTAAGGGCCTCTTATCCTGGATGGGCAGGCTGTCCCTGGCTTCCCAGCACAGGAAAACTTTAACCTGAGGGGTGGTGAGCCCAGGGAATGGACAGCACAGGCTCGGGGGAGGGAGACGCAAGCAAAGTCCCTGAGGTGATAGGCATCTCTATGGGTGCCTCTGGGCATGGAAGGTCCAGTGGAGGGCCCTTGCTCCATACCCTGGCTCTGCCTTCAACACGGTCACCACCAGCCCATGCTCTGCAGACCTGAGAGGTTCCAAGGCTCCAGACAGGGTGCTCAGTACCCCAGGGGCCTGCGCCGCCTCGAGACTGCGGCCAACAGCTTGGGACTCAACTCCCAGGGGGCCAACAGGGGCACGGGGGCCCTGCAGCCACATGGAGGGACAGGGCATGAGGGCAGGGCCACATGTCCCTGGGGAGCTCAGTGGCTGCCCAGTTTATCAGCAGCCTTCAAAAATCTCAAGTTGCTGGGCGAAGCACCCATACAGCTCACCTCAGAGCTGCACGGTGGCCAGCCCAAAGTGGAGGGCAGCACATGGCCCCACACTCCTGACATCTGGGTGGGAATGCAGCCCACACCTCCAGTGCTGGCCCGACTCCAGTGGGGAAACGCACAGGGTCTGCCACCCCTACCCTGGTGGCTTCACACCCTCTCCAGCGACCCCTAGAGGAATTGCCCTCCTCAGCCTCAGTGTGACTCACGGGCCTTACTTTGCTCATTCTGAGGGCCTTCACCTCATGTGGACCCACGTTCATGTCTGTAAAATAAATGTGTATGTTTGGGGGAGTCCCTTACCCATACCCAGAAATCCTAGGAAGTGAATAGCCTCTTCGGAGAGGACACGTGTGGCCCCCTCGTTTGTCCAGTCCATGAGTGAGCATCCAAGGGGCTCCTGGGATACGCAGCTGATCTGACCACAGAAACCTGGCATCAGTACACAAGCCTGGGGAGAGGCTTAGCCCTGACCAGCACCCCAGAAACACTGGGAGCAGGGGCTGGGAAATCAGCCACTTTCCCATTTCAACAGAGAACGAGGGCAGTGTGTGATGGCTGGGAGGCAAAACTGAAGGACAAGCCTGACACAACCACTCGGCAATGGTGGGACCCTCGCAGCCAGCCAGGGAGGCCGTGCGCACATGCATGCTGCTTCATGCTACTTCCTGCTTCAGGAAAAGCACTCATGTACCTGCTGCATCTGAAAATGGGTTTGAAGTGCCAGGAAATGTGCCACTGGCACAGGGGATGGCTTAGGGTTGCAGTTAGCAGACTAATAACCAGGCAGACAAGTTGTCAGAGTACAGAAATGAGTTTTACTTTTGAAAACCTTATAAGTTACCTGTTGCAACCAGTCATGTTTGCAGCACAAAGTAAATGAATGTGGGGCAGCACACAGGCCGCTAGCAGCCAGAGCCTGCCCACTGGCCTGGAGTGCACACTAGTGCTCACAGTTAAAACAGGACAAGCATCCTGCACAGCTCTCTGTGCAGAAGAGGCCCAGGCTGCCCACCCTGTGCTGAGACACGCATCAGGCACACCATGATGGGCACAGGCACTTGGCATTCAGCAGGAAGGCACAGCCTGAGCATTCTGTTTGCTGCACACAAGACAGCGGGCCCACAGTGACCACCTGAGCAGACAGGATTTTCCAACCCAATTATGACACTAAGGTAACAAACTCTCCTCTACAGTCGCACAATTTCAAGGTTGTGACACAAACAGGAATCAGTGAATGCCACTTAAAGCATGCCCTCTGCCATCTCTGAATTGAGTGACAGGTGATGAGTAAATGACTGACAGATACATAAGATGGTACACAGGACAGAGATGACTGTGACTGAGATAATGTGTGAAGAGAGGCTGACCCCTGAGTCAGGGGCACCCCACTCTGAACAGGAACACACACACAGTAGGGACAGAAGGATGTGCATGATAAATGGAGCATCTCCCTTGTTCTGGGTAGTGGGCCCACAAGATGGCTAGCAACCAGGCACAGGAACATGACAGGCATGAACCATGAACTGGAGCCTTTGTTTTTAACCAAAGGATCACACTTTCTATGAAGCCACTAAGACAGCAGAAGCCAACACAATGTGTGGGACGCAGGGCAGGGGACACATAGCACAATGTGTGGGATACAGGACAGGGAGACACAGCACAACATGTGGGATGCAGGCAGGGAACACAATGCATGACGTGTGGGATGTAGGGTGGGAGGTACACAGCAGAATGTGTGTGGTGCACGCAGGGGACATGCAACAATGTGTGGGACGTGGGGCGGGGACACATAGCACATGTAGAATGTGGAGTGGGGGACACACAGTACATGTGGGATTGGGGTGGAGCTTACAGCACGATTTCTGGGACGCAGGCAGGGAACACGCAGCAAAATGTGTGGGACACAGGCGGGGGACATGCAGCACGATGTGTGGGACGCAGGCGGGGGACACACCGCATGACGTGTGGGACACAAGCAGGGGACACGCAGCAAAATGTGGAACGCAAGGCGGGGAGATGCAACACGTGTGGGATGCAAACAGGGGACACACAGCACGATGTGGGACGTGGGTCCCACACGCAGCAAAATGTGTGGGACGTGGGTCAGGGACGTAGGATGGGGGCACACAGCACAATGCGTGGGGCTCAGGGCAGGGGAAACAGCATGTGTGGGATGCAGGCAGGAAACTGCATGACGTGTGGATGCAGGGTGGGGGAACATGATGCTACACAGGATGTGTGGGTCACAGGGCTGGGGACCCAGGGTTTCTGAGGACAGGGAGCTGTTCGGCTCCCCACTGGGTTGACGTCAGACTCACAAACAGCTCACCCTAGCATGACGTTAAGAGGCACTTCAGTAGTTAACACATAATTCCATCTCAGAGGTGAATGTTTTCCACACACAAAATAGGCTATAAAGTGACTATATGTAGCCATACTTCATAGCACTGCTTTAATCTATAAACAGAAGAGAAAATTTTTCAAAGAAAATAAAGATGAATATTTGCAAGTTCAGAAATAAAAATAAAGCTCCCAGGAGAGCCACTGTCCCCAGCACAGGACAAGCACTCTCCAAGCCGTGCTTTGTGTGCAAATGTAAGCTTCACTTTCCCAGGAATTGCTCACATATTTTTAATTTAGGAAGAAAAAAGTTCTAAGGATTCATTTCTTGTCCTAGACTGTGATTTTCTGGCAACTGCATAGCTGCTACATTCCTGTGTCAGATGGACACATGTCACATGCAGGAGCTGCAGGAGGTAGGAGGGACGGACGGCTGGACACGGTGGAGGTGACCGGCACCGACAGGGCAGGTGGGCCTCATCCTCAGAGGCCCCACCAGGTGCTGGGAGCACAGTGTGGGGGTCCAGAGTCCCCTGAGACATGAGGTCAGGCATGAGGCTGGTGTTGGCTCCCTCTCACTCGGCCTCCTGCCAGCCATCCCGCAGGTGCCCTCTGCTCTGCCGGCGGATATTGACCAGCTTGCCTGCAGCCCGGAGGCTCCATCGGGAGCTGCCTGTTGAACTGGCCAGGCTGGTGTACTTAGAGGAGCCCTGGGGGGCATCCTCCCACTCTGGCCAAGGCAGGCAGCTGCCCGCCATGTCCCCTGAGTCGACAGCTGCATCTCCCTCAGCCAGTCTGGGAGGTTCCCAGCCTTCCATCTCATCCGGTTTCCTGGGCTGTGTGTTCTGCTTCAAGACCAAATTGTCCCAAAATCCAGGCTTCTTCTCAGCCTTGAGCTCCTCTCTCAGTCGTGTGTTTGCTCTGCAGGAGATGAGAGAGGTACTGAGGACCCAAGCCACACAGCCTTCCATGGACACAGGCCTCTTTGCAGGCCTACGTGGACACTGCTCAGCAGACAAGCCACTAAGGACAACAAGGCTGCTGTTGACGGCTCCTAGTGGAGGCCACGTCTCAGGGAAAACCTCCCAGACATGCTGGGCTGAGGGGTCTAGAAGGCCACACCAATAAGAAGCTGCAGCCCCACGCACATGTCCAGTATGCATGACAGCCAGGGCCCCAGTGCTGGACACAGATTTTACCAGCCCCTCTGCTCTGACAGTGAGCCAGGCACCATCTGCTGAGCAGGGTCAATCCTGACACTGTGAGCAGCTCCTGGGAGAAAAGCCGGGCCAGGTCCAGCTCACAGGTGCCACCATCTCAACCAGGTCTGACTGCTGGCCAAGGATTTGGAGGGTTAGCCCACACAGGTCCTGTGCTGAGGAAGCAACGGAAAGGCAGGCTCCAAGCTGCCATCTCAGCAGCAATTCCCCACCCTGCATGGACCCACCACATGGGGCAGTATCAGGGAAAGGCGACCTGCATGTTCACCTTAAGGGCCTTCTTAATGTGGGAGGGCTATGGCACAGTTGGCAGCAGGGCCAGCGTTCTGAATTCTCAGTCCTGCAGTCTCACCGGCACTTTTCTGCAGCCTGGGATTCAGCAAATGGCCTAGTAAGGCTCCGGCCACCTCCTCTCTACATGGCCCCAGTGCTGTGCCCAGAGGGAAATGCTACTTGATCTCAGTGCGCAGAACCCACAGGCAGCATCTTGCTCTGGCTCACAGGGTACAGGAACACGGTACCTGCAAGGAACTGCCCACAGGGACAGAAAGTGTGGCTGACACCAGCCACCCATTAGGGGCTACCCCAGCTGACTTACCCTTTGGACTTGGGGGGTTTATGGCTTTCGAGCAGATGCTGTTCATCGTCTTTGTTAAATAGTGAAGCCATGTCCTTCCACCCTCGGAAACTTGCTCCCTGCACCTAACAGAAGGTTCAGGAAAATGTCAGCGGTGATGGAGTGAGTTGCTAGAGACAGGCTTTCTTCTCAATCACTGAAAGGTAGGAAAACACACATGCCCACACAGACTGAGTTGTGTTCTCTACAAACACATACCGCCACACAGAGTTGTGCCCGTCCACATGCACACTTCCCCACACACAGTGTCACGCCTGTCCACACACACACACACAGTGAGTCAAGCCCATCCACACACACAGAGCTATGCCTGACCACACACACACATACATACATACATATAAATTGTGCCCATCCACATCCCCACACAGACTGAGTTATGCTCACCCACATGCACACACCCCCCCACCTCTTGTGGTCTCTTTTCCTCCCAGTCAACACAACACAGCAATCAGGAGTGAGGACATGAAAAGTCACTGTTTCATAGCCCAGGCTGCCCAAAGAAGCAGCAGTCTGGACCCCAGTCTAGGCAGTTCTGTGGAGTCCCAGGGCCACAGGGTGGCTGTGGGCAGTCCCCAGGCCACAGGGACAGGCTGAACCAGGGATACAGGGCAGCCTCAGGTAGTCCCAGGGTGCTTGTGTCCCTAGCTGAGACCCTGTCCAGATGTGGCAGCTGCTGGACACTCTGGTCCACTCTCCTCCCTACTTCTTGTCAATGCTGTTTCCAACCAGATACCTCTAGACTGGCCCAGCTTCACCATCAGAGGAGGCAAGAAGTGCTCTCAAAAAACCCATGTACCTAATGTTTCCTGTGTTAAAAGAGGGAGGAACCCAGAAAGTATCAGCATTTCCCACAATGCAAGACTCACCAAAGAAAGCAGCACTCCAGTGGGCCAGCCAGTGACTGACCAAGAAAACCAGACTGGGCAGTCGCCAGGGGAAGACAGTTTACACCGGTGACACGCTTTCTCCTTCTATGAGGCACCAGACATTGGCAACCTGGCCACCCTCACAGCCCTGACCATACCCCTCGACAGCACTGCTGACAACCCTCACGGCCCTGACCACACCCCTGGACAGCACTCCTGACCACACTCATGGTCCTGATCACACTCCTGGACAGCACTCCTGACCACCCTCATGGCCCTGACCACACTCCTGGACAGCACTCCTGACCACTCTCATGGCCCTGACCACAGCCCTGGATCACACTCCTGACCACCCTCAGGGCCCCAACACCCTTGTCTGTACTCTTAGGGAGCTTATGGAAGCAACTGTAACATGTCTTGACCTGTATGCATGGACCCCTAGCATCCTCCTGTGCAGGAGCCCAGGTTCCTGAAGGAGCAGGTACATGGTAGTCCCCAGGATTCTGTGCTCCTGCCCCTGCGCACACCGCCATCCAGGCTCCCCTGTGGCTAGGTCCTTACACCAAGCGAGAGAAGCCATGGCACTAACCAAGTGTGGTGGGGACAGAGCTGGCTAGCCCTGGGCTAGGGAAAAGATCCAGACTGTGGCTTAAACAATGCATGGCAAGAGATGTGGGACACCGGAAGTAGGAGGAGAAGGAGAAAGGAAGCAGAAAAGTTCATTCTGAGAAGCTATGTCATGTAGGGTGGGGCTGCAGACCCCGCTCAGTCTCCCATCCCAGCTCCGGGAGTCCAGCTCCTCCACCCTAGCTCTGGCCATGCATGGAAGACCCAGGCCACCACCCTGGCCACATCTATGCTGTTGTGGAAAGTGGGGAGTGAACCAGTGAGCAGAAAACCAATCTAACACAAAATGAAAACGGTGATTTTTAAAAGCTCACCCTTCATCAGGGGGAAGTCCTGCAGACCAGCTGACCTGGCCAGCACTACACCAGTCCAAGGTCCACAGAGAACAAGCTTGCACCCCTTCCAAGGATACACAGAACGAACGAGGAGACAGCAGCACTCAGAATTGCAGATGGTGACAAAGCACCGCAGATGGGCCCTCCTGGACCCCGTGCCACAGGCTGGCCAAGAGCCACGTCACAGGACAGCTCACTGGACTGAGGGTGGGCCTGGGCAGTCAGGTCACACCAGGATTCCCACTACATGCAATCAAACTAGATTGAGTTTCCACCTAACTCTAATGAGACTGGTCGACATTCAGAACTCTACTAACAATACTGGCCAGCAGAGATGTGGGGAGAAAGGGACCCTATTTCACTGTTGGTGGGAGTGTAGGCTAGTATAACCACTATACAAGTCAGTATGAGAAGTGCTATAAGAACTGAAAATTGGTCTACCAGCTGATTTCTCATCTGAGCCCTTACAGGCTTAGAATGGAGAGAGAGTACAGACCCTAAATAAGAGACTGCTGACTCAGAATCCCTACCCACAGTGCTCATTTACTCATGATGGTGAAATAAAGATCTTTTAAGACAGACAGAAATTTAAAGAATTTGTCACTGCTTGCCCGGCTCTGCAAGGCATACTTAAGGACATATGTCCCACAGAACAGAGTCATCATTACGAGAGAATGTGGAGACAGATACCTACACAGATGAAACACAAGGCCATTGCAGGGTCACATCACTGTTTACCAATAATAACCTAGAATGTTAATGTCCTAGATTCTCAAATCAAAAGACACAGACTGGCTAAATGGATTTAAAATAATAATAATAAAACACAAAAAGACCCGTCTATTTGTTGCCTGCAACACACACCTCATCAGCAAAAATACAGATTGAAAACAAAAAGAAGGATAATGTTATCTCATGAAAATAGAGGGGGAAAAAGAACAGGAGTATTAATCCTAATACCAGAAAAAAAGAAAACAAAGAAAAACAGACTTGACCACAAAAGCCATTGACAGAGACAAGGAAGGTCACTCCCTAATGATCAAGGGACCACCTAACCAAGAAGTGATAATAGTAAATGTACTTTAAAACAACTTGCTAATGGATCCAACACAATAATAATAGGGAACGTCAACACCCCACTTTCATCAATACACAGATCAATTAAGACAGAAAATCAACAAAAAACAACAGAGCTAATCTATTACTATAGACCATAGGGACCTAATTGATATCCACAGAACATTTCATCCCACACTTGGCAGAATACACATCTTTTCATCAGTCCACAGAACCAATTCTAGGCTAGACAACATGTTAGGCCATAAGCAAGATGCAGAAAATTAAAAAAAAAAATGTTGTGTCTTGGGCCCCGGCACCCAAGTGGCTAAAATCCTTGCCTTAAATGTGCCAGGATCCCATACGGGTGCCGATTCTAATTGCGGCAACCCCACTTCCCATCCAGCTCCCTGCATGTGGCCTGGGAAAGCAGTCAAGGACAGCCCAAAGCCTTGGGACCCACGTGGGAAACCTGGAGGAAGTTCCTGGCTCCTGGCTTCAGATCAGCACAGCACCAGCTGTTATGCTCACTTGGGGAGTGAATCATTGGACGGAAGATCTTCCTCTCTGTCTCTCCTCCTCTCTGTACATCCAACTTTGTAATAAAATAAATAAATCTTTACAATAAAATTAAATTAACTTAAATTAATAAAATAATGCTCTGTCTCTCCTCTCTGTAAATCTGCCATCCCAACAAAAATTTTAAAACATTAAAAAAAAAAAAAGAATAAGAATTTTAAGGAGAAAAAAAAAGATAAATAAAAAAGTGAAATGATAACATGTGCGTTTTCTGACCATCATGGAATGAAGCTAGAAATCCACAACTCAACAGACTCTAGAAAACACGCAACACAGAAAGACTGGCACGTGACAGAAGGACCAGTGGGCAACAGCAGAAAGCCAATGAGAAATCAAAAAACTCCTGGGAACAAACGAAGATGACAGGACAACATATCAAAATTTATGGGACACAGCTAAAGCAGTGCTAAGAGGGAAGTTCATCACAATTAATGCCTGTATCAAGAAATCAGAAAGGCATCTAAATAAATGATCTAGCAATGCATCTCACAGACTAAGAAAAATAACGCAACAAATGCAAAGCTAGTAGGAAGAAAGAATTAAAAATAAGAGAAGAAATAACCAAAATTGAAATAAAAATACATAAGGTCAGTAAAACAAAGAATGGGATGTTTGAAAACAAACAAAATTGATATACCATTAGCCAAATTAACCAAAATAAATATAGGAGTCAGAAATCAGTAAAATAAGAGATGAAAAAGGAGACATAACAGTGGACACCACAGAAAGACAAAGAATCATCAGGAATTACAGCAAACAGCTATACGCTAAAAATTTGGAAAATCTGGAAGAAATGAACAGATTTATGGACACAATCTACCAAAACTGAGTTACGATGACACAGAAAGCCCACACAAACCCATAACTAAGATGGACAGTGAATTGGTAATCAAGACCCTCCCAACAAAGAAAGCTCAAGACCAGATGGCTTCACTGCTGAAGTCTACCTGACTTTTCAAGAGCTAAGTCCAACACTTTTCAAATATTCAAACAGCTGAAAGGGAGTGAATCCTCCCAAACTCCTCCTATGAAGGCAGCGTCACCCGAGTCCCCAGACCAGAAAAAGATACAAGAGAGAAAGACAACTACAGCCCAGAAGCCCTGATGAGCCCAGATGCAAAACTCAGTAAAATACTGGCTAACCGAATCCAACAAAACATCAGAAAGATCACTCACCCTGATCAGGTGGGATTTACCATGGTATGTAGGCAAGGTTCAACATAGCAAATTCATAAACGCGATACATAACATCAACAAACTGATCATCTCAACAGACACAGAGAAAGCACTGGGTAAAAACATAACACCCTTCATACTAAAAAACCTTAAGTAAAATGGGTGCAGAATGAGCAATCAAGTCAACACACAATAAATGCACAGCCAGCACCATACGGAATGGGAAAGTGGGAGGCATTCCAGTCAGCTCTAGAACCAAGCAAGGGTGCTCACTCTCACTGTGACTGTTCTATACTCTAACCCTGGCAGCTTTAGCCACAGTCATTATGCCAAAAAAGCAATCAAATGGATATAAACTGGAAGGAAATCAGATTATCCCTGTTGGCAAGTGTAAGACTCCTTGTCTGGCAAGTCATGGGATCAAATTTGCACAGAAATCCTGGCCTCTGCAGTGCAGACAACCCCAGGGTGAGTGAGCAAGGCACAGGACTGCGTAGGGGCTGTGGCTCCTCTTAGGCCTGACAGATGAGGGATGCAGGCAGGAGCAGGTCTGGACAGAAGAGTTCCCAGGGCCTCGTGAAAGCTTCTCTGGACCTGGATCCAGCACAGGAAACATAACTCTTGCCTGTGGCCCCTCCAACCCCAGAGAACTAGAACTGCGAGGAGAGGTCTGGGAGCAGCAGTGACCCCAGAGTGGCAAGTGGGTGGGGTTGCAGATACCGCCCAGGATGCAACAACTGCTGGAAAAACCATAGAGCCTTCCTCCATGAACCTGCACCAGGACCCTAGAGGGGCAGTGGCCTCTCATCCACCTGGAACCACAGCAGCAGGCACAGTACAATGCACATGGGAGGGGGTGGGATGTGGGACAAAGGCCTTGGTGAGTGGCAGCTGGCTCTTTCTAATGGTGGGTCCCGTCCCCGCCCCCGCTCTGAGTCCAGGTCCCTACTTCCTCTCCCTGGCCTGCACAGCACACGTCTGCCAGCCAACTGTAGGCGCTACTAAGGAAGTTGTCTCTGCCTAGGGAGAACTCACAGGGGGTCAACGTGGATGGATGAAGCCAGAGACAAAAAAACACAAGGGATACCCCGACCCAGGGAACACTGGGGGTAGGGTCAGGAACTAGCAGGTGTGACATGTAGATCGCAAGTCCAAGAAATGGGGTCCATACCATGTCCACAGTACGCAGGTACCCACACACAACCCCCAACCACGTACCACAACCCACAAACGCTCTGCTCAGACTAGGAGGGCACAGCCTCAGGGCGCACCTCAGGCACCTGCACACTGGAGAAGGGCCAGCCCTGTGAATGCACCAGGAATTGCTAGCACACAGCCATGGAGGGGCAGACAGAAGTGGGAGCCCACCTGGGCAGGACAGGCAAGGCCCACAGACCTGTAATGGATTAGACTGGCTGGTTATTTCCACGGCTGTAACCCTCCTAAGGAGATCTGCTGAAAAGGACTGGGGGCAGCATCCTCCATCTTCACTTTGTAGGCCACAGCAGGGCCAGGCCAGGGCCCAGCACTTGAACCATCTTCTGCTGTGTCCCAGGCCGTGAGCAGGGGTCTAGGCTGCAGGCAGAGCAGTCGGGACTGGCGTCACCACCGGCTGCTGGTGCATGACTTGCCATGGTCAGCAGATGATGTCAAAAATGTCCTGTGGCAGCCTTGGGCTGGTGTTAGGGTGTGCAGGTGCACCCCTGGTATGTGGAAACGCTGCACCTGCCCCTTCATTGTGCTGCTACTTAAACGCTAATGTCTGCCAAAATAAAGAACGATACACACAGAGGAGGAAGAGACGATGGTAGCCTGCAGTGGCACCCCACATGGCTGCTTGTTCATGTCCTGGCAGCTCCACTTCTCAACCAGCTGCCTGCTGGTAACCAAGAGAAGCAGCCAAGTACAGCCCTGGAGTCCTGTACCCGCAGGCTCCTGGCTCCTAGCTCTGGCCTGGCCCATCCCCAGCCATGCAGCCTTTTGGGGGTGAGCCAGTGGATGAAGGACTCTCCATCCTTGCGCCTCTCAAGTGAGTTTTAAACAGCAAATGGTTGACAATTTTGCCACAAGGAGCTGGGGGAGGACGCTGGCCTCTAAGGTCCTGGTGTTTCCACATTCTCCAAGTTAAGAATTTTTGCAGTAAAAACTTGGGCGGAATATGCAACTCTGGAGTCAATGAAGATGAGTACACCTCAGGACTGGGGAATCCCAGAGCCGAGCCACGAACTCGGGGGATCCCAGAGCTGAGCCATGTACCACCTGAGGACTCGGGGAGTCCCAGAGCTGAGCCAGGCTGTGCGTCACCTGACTGGACAATGCTGGCCCATCAAGTGCAGCCACCCACAGTTGAAAGATAGCTGCCGCGTGTGACTGGAGAGGCCCAGGCCAGACCGCATTACTGCTGAGCGCACGCAGTCTCAGGGCGGCAGAACCATGTCTCTCAGGAGTGGGTAAAACCAAACAAGAGGGGACAGAGCCCAAAGACCCTGGGGGACAGGTGGGTGGGGTAGCTCCTTTCACCCTGGGGGCCAGGTGGACGGGGCAAGCCCTCTGACCTGCAGGGGAAGAACAAGGCCAGAAGGGCCTGTTTGCAGAAATTCTGGACATTCCAGACATAGCTGGCCTCGGTGCTGTGGGAGGCCCGGCACTAGGTGAGGGTGGCAAGTGCCTCAGGCCAGCACGCACACGGAGGCTCGGGGTGTGGGGAGGACGCGCTGCCCAGCACAGCTCGGGCCCAACGCCTCAGGCTGCCCTGGAGACCACCGGCGCGCGTCTTACCCCTCGGGCCTGGCCCTGGGCTGTGCGTCCCACACCTGAGCTCCCACCTACCCCAAATCTCCACCTGCGCCCCTTACCTGCCTACACCTGCGCCCGCGCCCCGCACCTGCACCCCCGCCACCACCCCGCACCTGCGCTGCAGCGGCGGCCATCGCAGGCGGCGGCCCCTCGGGCAGGCCGTCCTCCTCCTCCGGGGTTTCGTCAAGAAGCACCCGGCCCCGGCTCAGCTTCCACATAGTCGGGAGGGCTCCGGCGTCCGCGCTCCTCCCGCGCCGCGCTTCCTGCAGGACGCGGGCAGCTCCCTGGGCCAGTCCGCCCCCTCGCCGCGTCGCAGGCCCGGCCCTCACCCGGCCTCCCCGCCCCTCGGACGCAGCCCCCCGACCGGCCCCGCTTTTCCGGAGCCGCGTCCCGCCCCGGTGACCCGCGAGGAGCCGCCCCTCAAGGCCGTCCCAAGAAGGAGGCCTCAGCAGAGTCCTCCCCAGGCGTGTTCACGTCCGCTCGGCTACCATGGCAACGCCACTGCCCCACAGCCCTTCAGTGCGCATGCCCGGCCCTGCAGCGGCCCCGGGGCGCACAGACGTGACCAGGGCGCAGGGGCGTGGCCTGGCTTGGCGGAGTGGGAGCGTGGGGGCGTGGCCAGGGCACACAGGCGTGGCTGGTGGGCGGGGCGTGACCGAGGGCGGAGCCCCGGCCTGGGTCTACATAGGGAGGCGAGTGGGTTGGAGGCATGTCCGAGGACAGAGCCCTGACTTGTGGTCTACACCGGGGGTGGTGCAGGGAGAGGTGACGGCTTCCCTCCTTGAGGTCTGGACTCACCTGAAGAGGGTGGGTGTTGGGGTGACAGATCCACAGACGGACATACTGATGGATGATAAAGGGACAGACAGTCCACACATAGGAGAGCCCCAGGCTGAAGGGACATGTCCTGCAGCATGTGTCAGGGTGCTGCAGCCTCTGTCCTGGGAGTTAGAGATGGGGGATGCTGTGCGCTGGGCCCAAGTAGCCCTCCAGGGACCACAGCATACACCGGGCTGGCCCTCACTGACCCTCACCACAGGCAGAAGGGGCATCCCCAGTGCAGAAGGGGGCAGTTGAGAGGCCAGGAGAAGAAAAAGAAGGCAAGGGAGAGAGGAAAAAGGGAAAGAAAAGAAGGAACTAGTCAGGCCCAGTGCAGTAGCCTAGTGGCTACCTTGCCTTGCATGTGCCGGGATCCCATATGGCCACCGGTTCTACTCGCCTGCTCTACTTCCCATCCTGCTCCCTGCCTGTGGCCTGGAAAAGCAGTCAAGGACGGCCCAAAGCCTTGAGTTCCTGCACCCACGTTGGAGACCTGGATGACGCTCCAAGCTTCTGGTTTTGGATTGGCACAGCACTGGCCATTGCGACTGCTTGGGGAGTAAATCGACAGAGGGAAAATCTTCCTCTTCGTCTCTCTTCCTCTCTATATATCTGCCTTTCAATAAAAATAAAAAATCTTAAAAAAAGAAAGAAGGAACTAGTCTTAAAAGCAATGCCCCAGCTCCAGGAAGCAAGCACCCAGTAGGCTGTCCTTGGCCCTCACGGTGGCAACAGCCAGTGTACATGCCCTCAGCAGGTGCACCAGTCTGTGCTCCAGAAAGGGAGGTCTGCACTTCATAGGGGACTTTCCAGTGGCCTGGCATCCAAGAGGGAAGAGGGTTCTGCCCAGGTTGCCCCAGCTGTAAAGGCAAATCCAGACCTCGTGGGCCCAGCCCTGTCCTCTGCTAGGTCCTCAGATGCCTGTCAGCCATGGGGTAAGGTTTGAGGGCAGGTGCTTGTCATAGAGCTCCAGGTACCACAGGGCTGCCCTAGTACTACCTCTCTCCCTAGAGGGTCCTATGGTGTCCATGGGTCCACAGGGTGGAGGTAAGCCCAAGTGTCAGGGTCAGCACAACCATTACCATGTTAAAGCTGAAGGTCATTTCCCTAAGCTGCAGGCTGGAAGTCAGGGCAAGGTCACAGTGTGAGCTTGGGAGCTTGAGCTGCGCTGACCAGAAGCAGTTCCCAGGGCTGCAGGATGAGGGCAGGTCAAGACATCAGCCAGCAGGCCCAAGACAGTCAAAAGCCTGGTCAGCAGGAGTGAGATGTGGGCAGGACTGCTGCAGTCATGGGCAAACACTTAAGATTTCCAGGAAACCCGGTCAACAGACAGATGGCCCCCTGACACACAATCTCTGTCCATTCTAAGAAACAGCCCTCTGAGGCCTACCAGAAACCCCTGGAGCACTCCACTGACAGACCTAGCAGTAGCCCCTGAAACTGTCCATTGACTATGGGCCTAGCTATAACTCCTGGAGCACTCCAGACCTAGTGGTAACCCCTGGAACATTCCACTGACTGAAGCCTAGTGGTAACCCCTGGAGCTGTCCACTACTGAAGGCCTAGCGGTAACCCCTGGAGCTGTCCATTGATTACTGAGTTCTCTCCTCAGAACAGGCTAGAAGCAACAAAAGATCAGCTGCTGCTGGGATGTGCTGAGAGTTCAGTCAGTGTCACCAGCATCTGCTGAACCTGGGCCTTTCTCTAAATGTAACTAACTCAAGCAGTGGTCCTACGCAAGGGCTGCTGGCATGTGGAAGCTAGACGGTTCTCAGGCTGGCCCTTCCTCTCAGAAGCTTCTGTCAGCTTGCCCCGGTCCTTGCTGTGAGCTGGCACATGGACGACACAAGCTCCAATTTCCAACAATGGTGCAGGGACACCTGGCCCAGGTGTGTGATGCCCTCCGCAGGAGGCATGACAGGGTAGGCCCTGTGGGTTGTGGTTGACCATGTGAATTCTGTGATATTTCCTTTCTCAGTTTGTGTAACAGAGGGCTTCCACTTTGCTGTGTCACCACAGACGTGTGGATCAGTGTCTGGTGACAGCCCCCAAACCCAAACCCAGCAGGAAGTAGAAACTGAGGTTGCTGCTCCCAGGTGAGTTTCCAGTGGCTGGTTCTAAAGACTGAAATGTCTTCACGCCAAATGACTTGATCTCTGCTACTTTCTTCCCTCATTTCAGGAAAGCTAGATCAGCATCCTAACCCTTTTTACGCTGAACTGTCTACATTCCTTTACCTTACTTTTTACTTGGAAAATAGAGAAACAGAAAGCAACACAGACAATGATCTTATACTCCTGGCTACTCTCCCCGTGCCTGCAAAACCAGGAGCTGCACCTGACTTACCCGTGACACGATCCTGGCTCCATCGCACGCTGCCTCCCAAATGTGCCTTCATAAGAAACTGTGACTTGAATCCAGCACTGGAGCCTCAGGCATCAGAACCAGCACCCTAAACTACTTATAGCCAGCACAATGGCTCAATAAGCTAAGCTTCCCCCTCAAGCACTGGCATCCCATGTGGGCACTGGTTCATATCCTAGCTACTCCACTTTCCATCCAGCTCCCTGCTTGTGTCCTAGGAAAACAGTGGATGATGGTTCAAAGCCTTGGGGTCCTGCACTCAGATGCAAGACCTCGAAGAAGCTCTTGGCTTTGGACTGGCTCAGCTCCAGCCATTGTAGCCATTTAGAGAATGAACCAGCATTTAGAAGATATCTCTCTCTTTCTCTCTGTAAATCTGCCTTTCTAATAAAAAATATAAACAAATCTTTAAGACAAATGCTCCCTACCTAAAGAGGATGTGAGCCATTGGACCTCAGGAAGGTGAGGCCGGTGCAGTCTGGGCTGGAGGCAGGGGACAGTGGTGAGTACTTCAGACTTTGTCTGCTGAGGAGTTGCCAGGTGCTGCAGGATTCATCACTTCTGGCTGACCAGGCCTGGGAGTGCACATGAGGCTTCCTTTCCCAGACGTGAGCCCCATGGGAACGAACTGGAAGGCGCCATGGTGTGTATGTTCCCAGGTGAGCCTGACCAGGTGGGGAGAGATGAGAAGGAGAGCCACATGGGAACGAACTGGAAGGCGCCATGGTGTGTATGTTCCCAGCTGAGCCTGACCAGATGGGGAGAGACGAGAAGGAGAATCTGGCACAAATACAAAGTCTCATCAAGGTGAGACAGAGAACTACTGGTGCTACCCCCAAGCAGTCAGAGACAGGCCAGAGGTCTACTCTCACCACTCCCGTTCAAGAGCGTAGCAGTCCCCGCCATGACAGCAAGCAAATATGAAGAGATTAATGGCATCCAAATTATAAAGGAAGTAAAATAATTCCTCTATCAAACAACAAGATCTTATACATAAAAATCCCTAGAGTCTTAAAGCAAAACCCTCAAACTTTTTAGATCTAACATATAAAAACAGTAAAGTTGGATCAGGTACATTTCTGTCACTAACAATGGATAATCTAAGAAGGTAAGCACATAATTCCATTTATAGCAATGTGAAAAAGAACAGGATGGATGCACAGGAAGTGCAAGAAATTCACACTAGATGTCAATTACGAGAAGACAGGGTTCAGAGTGCAGACTTACTGTGAAAACATCTTGGCTACCAAAGATGCTGTTGTTTAATCACAGAATCCAGCGGGGCTTGTACTTGGGGTTAGGGTTAGACAGGCTCCTGCAATACTGGAGTCCCAGGCAGAGGCTGCTCTATTCCCCTCTGGGAGCAGCAGTAGGTAGCCCCAGTATCTGCCACCATGTGGGAGATCTGCGTGGAGTTCCAGACCCCTGACTCTGGCCTGATCCAGCTCTGGCTGTTGCGGCCATTTGTGGAGTGAACCAGCAGAGGGAAAATCTCTCTCTGGTCTCTGTCATTTTGACTTTCAAATACCTGACTGAATAATTCTTGTAAAACACTCAATGAATGCCCTTTTCATTTTTTTTTTTTTTGCCCTTTTCATTTTGCATGAATACAAAAACTCAGCTTAAATAGGAAAGAGGAACTCCAAATTGAGAAAAAGAAGTCTTGAAATACAAAGTTACAGAATTTATATCTTTTGATTGAAAAGCTTATTACAAAGTTACAAAAATCCAAGAAGCTGTGGCTCTGATATAGTCAGACCTAGGGACCAAAGGAATAAAGTTCATAGCCCAGAAATAAACTTCACATCTGTGATCACATGATTCTGACAAAGGTGCCAACACCACTGAAGGCAGAAAGGGCAGACTCCGCAGCTGCTGGTGTTGTAAATAGAACATCCAGAGGCAAAAGAAGGAAGGGAACCTCCTGGTCCAACAGTTACAACCTTAACTCGGAATGCCAAGGCTAGAGTTAAACCATGAGACAAAGTAATATTTCTCTCTTGGGTAAGACACCAGAAGAGCAGGCAGCAAAGCAAAGTTAGACAAGACTTTGCTGAGATTAAAAAACACAGTGTCTCAAAGGATACCACCCAGAGAGTAGAAAGACAAGGCTGGCAAGGGGAGCAGGCCCATTCCAAGTAAAATGTCTAGTGGTGTACTTCTATTATGAAATAATCAGCAGAGCCCAGGCCACACTGTGCCACCTTTCTATGGGGCAGACAGATGGCCATAACCCCAACAGCACACTTAGTTATCACCCGCCACCAAGCAAACCAAGCCAGAGCCACCACGAGACACCACCTTATCCTGATTAGGATGGCTGCTCTCAAGTCAATGGAAAACCACAAGTATAATGGCCCTTGAGGAGCCTGTCGCCCAGCTTCCAACTAGTGGGAGGGGGCTGGCAGAAATGGGGAGCCATAGGGAGCCCAAGACTGGTTGGGGAAACCTGTAGGGAGCCTGTAGCCCTGCATATGGCTGACAGAAGTGGGGCCTGTGGTTGGTGTGAATGGGGCCTGGGGATCCTGCAGGGAGCCCAAAGCCCTGGCTGGCAGATTGTAAAATGGCGTAGCTGCTGTGGCATTCCAGTGGTTCCTCTAATGCAGAACACAGACTGAGCCAGCATTTCCACTCCAGAGAGGAAGGAAACACAAACCTGGAAAAGGAGGGAGGGAATCCTTTAGATAAAGGGATAAACTCAGTGTTTACCCACAAAAGGGAGCCTCTGCTTAACTCTAAGAGAAAATGGTGGTGGTGCAGACTGCAATGTGCTGAGTGCGACATATTGAGTTAGTGAATGCATTTTCCCTGTTGCATATACTTCACCCTCTTACTCTGAGGGAAGCAGTCAGTGCCCCTCTAAAATGTTACACTGACGCTTTGAAAACTCACTAATGCTAAAACCTGGAAACTTTTCCTAAGAAGGAAAGACAAAATAGGAAAAATCATTCCTCGCTATTATTGCTCAAAACAGAGCAGACTGGAAAGAACAAACTATAACCAAACTACTTCAACTAAAACATTCAGAAAGAGACACATCTTGCTTCGGCTGGGTCATTCACCATGGCTGACATGGTGCGAGCTGGGCCAGGCTGAGGACAGGAGCTTGGAGCTCCACCCTGGCATCCCATGAGGGTACAGGACCCAGGCACTGGGTCACCCTCCACTGCCTTCCCAGGCCATTATCAGGGAGCTGGATTGAAGTGCAGCAGCCAGGAAGTGGATGGGCACTTGGATATACGATGCTGGCGTTGCACATAATAGCTACCCCACTGTGCCACAACACATGCCTGACTGGGGCATGTTATCACCAAGGGAGTATTCTTAGAGATGCATGCTGAGGTGCAAGGTGATCTTATACAAACATGTAACTGCTTCAAACTATAGAATTTAATTTAAGAGAATGTTCACTTTCATTTTTCAGAGGAATTGGACAAACAGACTCAATTCAGGATGTATAAAATTACACGTGGAAAATGTAAATTTCACTCCAGTGCCTGAGTTGAAGGTTCAGGGTTAGGGTTAGGGTCTCAGTCGGCATGTAGAAACGCAGGAACCTGCAGCATGGCAGCAGGGCCTGTAGAATTCCTGGATTTGGGTTACTAGTTCTCAGTTATTGAGAATTACTCTTCTTTGTATGTCAGTTCTCAGCCCACCTGACGTTTGTCCTTTATGTTTTCGTGCCTAATATTAGCTCTCCTTGAAGAAGGACACTGGTTTCAGTCATTGCTTTTCTCAGGAAGGACATGCGTGATCCAGTAATTAAAGAAGGCAGAGATCACCCTGGCATGGTCTGGAAAGCAAAAGGCAAAAACAAAACAAAAAGTAAAACAGAACAAAGAGGAAAACTAATCTTAAACCATTACATTGTGAATGTCAGTTTCTGGGCCCAGAGTAAGTCTGAAGATGCAGTCAGTGTCATGGTCCCCTGTGAGGTACGTGACATGGGACACACAACAAACACACAGGACATAGCTCTTCTGACCAGTGCACCTCACTAGGGTTCAAAGGGTACTTGATACTATCATGTACTGTGTTATGGGTTTGGGGTGATATGAAAGGAAATGGGTGAAGTCACAGGTGAGCTGGCAGGAAGCTGGAGGTAGAACCTGGAGCGCAGAGCCCTCTTGGGGCCAGCACTGTGAGGAATAGCCCATGGCAGGCTGTCAGGCAGACAGGCACCTCTGCCAGCACTGTGCAGTCTGTCCTCCCTGTTTGGTAACTGTTGCCCATGTTCAATCTTCCACCAGCCTCAGGAAGACCTGGCATGTGCTCACCAGGGGCCTCCGCTGCCTCTGCCATGACACACACTGGGCCTGATGCACTCCAATGCCTGCTGGAGTCCCAGGGTATACCCTGGACTCACGGCGGCTGCTCAGACAATTTATTTCCACACCAGGAGCCTTTTCAGTTGAAGGGATCTGGCTTCTGCACCCACAAGACACTCACGGCAGACAATAGGCAACCTGACCTCTACATCTAGTCTTCCATAATCAGAACAACAACTTCTCCCGCCGTACAGTGATTGTCCCACTGTTCACGTGGTGTCCAGCAAGCCCTGGCCCTTCACTCCAGCCTGCCCTCTAGTGGCTTCTTGGCTTCACTTCCACCCCCAGCCCACTGACCAGTCCTGCCAGCTCTTTCTCCAAGGAGCCCATGCCTGCCATCGCCACAGTGCTATAACACACGCAACCCTATGCACTGCAGCTGGCAATTTGTGCCCAGTAAAGGCAGCAAACACGCAAAAGGAAGCTTGATGCTACAGCTGTCCACTAACACATTGGAACACTCAGGAGACAGAAGGAACTTGCTTTCAACCACCTCAGTGAGGGCAAGGGTAGGGGAAGAAATGAATTCTCTCACTTCTATTTAAACATAAGACAATGTGGCTCTAAGTGATAGCTGCAAAATCAGGCCATGCAAGCATTTCCACACACTGAAGTGTTTGTTTGTTTGTTTATCACAGGCAGAGACAGGAGATCCCTGCTTCTCTGGGGTATTCTGCTCTTGCAAGATTGATGCTGACAAGAACATGTGAGCAGTGACACAGGTTGGTCATACACACTTACCAGGAGGCATGGCGCAGTGCTCAGGGAAGATCTGTAGAGCACTTGTCAGCTGTTCCGTGTCTCGCAGAAGCAACAGTGTCCTCATGTGATCAAGAATGAAGACATCCGTGGGAGGCAGGCAGCGGGACTCAAGGCACCTCAGCAGCTCCTCCGTGGTCTCCACACACACAGTGGGGTCCAAGTCTCTGGAGAGACCTACATGGAGTTAGCAACATGTTGACACCAAGCTATTTTCACAAATGACCAGTGGAAGCTTCACCTCCAAAGAGATCAACAGGGACACACAGATGCCCTAGAGACTGGGACTGTGAGAGCACAGAGGGCATGGAGGGCAGGACTGTGGGAGGACAGAGGATGTGGAGGGCAGGACTGTGTGAGGACCGAAGGTGTGGAAGGTGGGACTGTGTGAGGACAGAGGGCATGGAAGGGCAGTACTGTGTGAACACAGAGGACGCTGGAGAGCGGAACTGTGGGAGCACAGAGGGTTGTGGAAGGAGCAGATGCTGAACAAGTGAAACCTGACACCTTTGACTACGCCCCACCTACAGAACATGGAGTGGGCACAGAGAGCAGCAGCAGGATTAGCGAGACAATGAAACCAAGCTCTCCTGTTGCATATCTTTAAAGGAGAATGAGGCTGCTGGTTCTTTAGGGTGAGTCCAGCAAACCAGGAGCCAGGTGTTGGTGCTGGTCCACCTCCACTGGCTGCTTCCATGACTGACCTTCACCCCTGGTTTCCACAGCCTGGTGTTGTTGTGCCTGGGGTGCGCGTTTTGTATGGCCTGAGCCTTGCACATGAGGGCCTCTGACTGGGTGCTCTGGGTTGGGTCCAGCACCCTACCTCCTCTCTTTAGATTCCAGGTAGGTAGGTGGTGGGCTCCTCTCTGTCATCCATCCCCCAACCCCTGCCCATGACCCTTGACCTGCCTTCCCATCACTGTGTTTTATGTTGAGTCTAACCTTTTGCTTTTACTCATTGTTTGAATTCCAAGTTTTAGTAGTAATAATTCTCAGACCCAGAATTTTCATTTGGTTACCTTTTTCTTCATTTTCTCCTTAATTTCTTGAAGCAGTTACTCAGAGTTGTTTAAAAATGAATGCTTCCAGCTCCTCAGCCCCAACACAGGCGCAGGCAGGATGCACTTCACAGGTTTTGAATGATAACATTTCCCTCTGAGGGGGTTGGGGGGTTCTCCTTCAGCATGCTAGGCCAACAGGGTGGAAGCAAGTCTACCTGGTTCATCCAGGAGCTGGCACAGAGGGCAAAGGTAGGTCACGCACTTCCCATCTCCTAGCTTTGGATGTTCTGTCGGCTTCATGCATCTGCATTGCTGGAAGTCACCCTGAGAGCTGGAGGCTCTTAGAGGGTTCTCACCTCCTCTCCCAGTGCTGGACTTAGATCATGCTTTTGGGGAGGCCAGCACAGTATTGGGGTTTTTCAACTTCCTCTGATGACCTGTGAAGTCATGTTCTGCTGGTGTGTCTACCTCTTTGGACTCCTTCATAGATCACACCCCAACACCCAAGGGCTCCTTCCACTAGACCACAGCCCAACACCCAAGGGCTCCTTCCACTAGACCACAGCCCAACACTCGTGGGCTCATTCTCCTAGACCACAGCCCAACACCCAAGGGCTCCTTCCACTAGACCACAGCCCAACACTCGTGGGCTCCTTCATCTTTTTCACAGCCCAACATCCAAGGGCTCCTTCATCTAGACCACGCTCCAACATCCATGGGTTCATTCTCCTAGACCACACCCCAACACCTACAATGTTCCTTCCCCCAGACCACAGCCCAATACATGGAGCTCCTTCCTCTAGACCCTACCCCCACAGCACTTTCACACTTAGACAGACCCCTGAAGGAAGGTGGCTATAGAAGGCTGGCTCCCTCCTTGAGTGTCAGATCTTAGATTCTTCCATCAGATCTGTAGGCTGGTCTGGTTACTCTCTGCATTACTGCTCATCTGCAACAAGCCATTCAGTTCATACACAGAAAGGAAAATCTGCTGAGAACTCTTTGAATTCTTTTTTTGTTTTAAAGATTTATTTTTTATTGGAAAGGCGAATATACAGAGAGGAGAGACAGAGAGGAAGATCTTCCATCCGATGATTCACTCCTCAAGTGAGCGCAAGGGCCAATGCTATGCCGATCCGAAGCCAGGAACCTCTTCCGGGTCTCCCACACGGGTGCAGGGTCCCAAAGCTTTGGGCCGTCCTCGACTGCTTTCCCGGGCCACAGGCAGGGAGCTGGAAGGGAAGCGGGGCTGCCGGGATAGAACTGGCACCCATATGGGATCCCGGGCATGCAAGGTGAGGACCTTAACCACTTGCACCACCGCACCGGGCCCCAACTCTTTGAATTCTATTTCTATCATTATCAGCTACATCTTCCTATCAGTATCATTTGGATATTTGTGCTTTCAATCTGTTACATATGGAAAATGCTCATAAACAGGAGAAGAGAAAAGGCTAAAGACACTTGTCACCATGTTTGTGGGTGAGACCAATCTGCCAGTGACAGCAATTTACATGACTGTTTAATCAGCTCCTTGCCAGGCCCAATATGGTGGCTTAATGGCTAAATTCTCACCTTGCACATGCCAGGATCCCATGTGGGCACCAGTTTATGACCCAGGTCCTCCATTTCCCATCCAGCTCCCTGCTTGTGGCCTGGGAAAACAGTGGACAATGTCCCAAAGCCTTGGGAACCTGTACCCACGTGGGAGACCTGAAGAAGCTCCTGGCTTCAGATCAGCTCAGCTCTAGCTGTTGTGGCCACTTGGGAAGTAAACCAGCAGATGTAAGATCTTTCTGTATCTCTTCTCTATAAATCTGCCTTTCCAATAAAAGTAAATAAATCTTAAAAAAGAAATCAGTTCCTTGCCTCCCACATTACTAGACAGCTGAAAGTTCTCCATCTCTTCACGCAACCACTGTCCGATGTCTCACTGAAGCACTTCCAACCTACTGGCAGTGTATCAAATAGGAAAACAGGGCGTGTGCTTCTCTTCTTGGCCCTGAGCTGCATCTGCTGCTTTTTCATCCTCAGGTCAGTCACTAAGGAATACAATGCTGCACAAATAAAACAATTGCCCGTCATGAGAACAAACACATCTTTCTTTTCCACATCCCTCAGAGTTTCCAGATAGTTTCTGGAAAACATTAGCCAAAAAAAAAAAACCAAACTTATGTATGAAAGTACAACTCATCTTAGGCATGGATTCCAAGTTTATCTTTCAGCTCTGTTTTCCCTGGATTTCTTTTTGAAGTGTCCTTGAGTGTCCATGGCTGGGTGTGGGAGGGGAGTTGGTTTGCTGCTTCTACTGCCCTGAGAGCTTAGGAAAGCCACCTGGTGAGCCCAGGAACACTTTCAGACCACACAGGGCTCCCAGAGAGAGATGCAGCTATGGCACTGGCACACTATGACATCAGTCTTCAGAGGAACCACCAATGTAGACCTGGCCCACCTGCAGCAATGGCAGTTCCAATATGTCCTGAGCAACAAATGGCTCCAGTTCTCTTGTGTAAAGAATTTAAATATCCTGATTTTTGCCTTGAAATTAATTTTAATGTATTTTGTATTGGAAGCCTCAAAACATTTTATTTATTGCTTATTTCAAAATTTAAAGTGGCTGCCATTATTCAGAAGAAAACAGAAAGATACATACCATCATAAAAATAAGCTTCTTGCATCAATTTTAGCAAGGCCAGGACACCGTCCGCTTTTTCGTTGCTGAGTCTGACCTCCTCCTCATCGGCATCTCTAGCCTCCTCCTCGCTTGTGTCTCTTGCTCCCCGCTCACTGTCTCCTTCATTCTCTTGTTCACTGTGGCTCTCCACAGGCTGGTACATGAAGTTGACACCAGAGGCCTTTGTCACCAAACTGGCTGCTTTCTTCCTTTGAATTTGTCGTTTCTTCTTCAGTTTCCTTTTTTTATTTTTGCTGATCGAGGGACCATCTGTGTGCTGGTGTTGTAACTTTTCTTGTAAGAGACTTGGCTGCTTCTCTAATTCTGCTTGTTCTACATGAACAATATTGGGTTTTTTTACATTTTTCCTTGATTTACGCTTTCTAATTCTTTTTCTCTTTTGTTGATCATGACAATCTTGATCTGTATTGGATGTCAGAACAATAGAACTATGTCAAAAATGTGAACTAAACAAATATTCCATCAAGATGTTGCAGTTTCAGTGGAAGAAAGGATTCAAGCTGTTTGTTCCAGTGATTCTCAACTTTATCTCATTGTAATTACATTGCTAAAGATCCCAACCATGTCACAAATTACAACACTCCTAGCTTCCAAAAGAGGCACCAAAAGAGGTAACCACCATATGACCTACAATAAGTTGTCACAGGACTACAAGGAGTGAAATTCTATTCCTATAACCTTTGGGAAAAAAATTCATTCCTATGTGTTTCACACTTTACTTCTGTACCTTCCAAGAGTTAAGTCACATTTTGAAATGAAAGTTGAGTTTGGGCTATAGGTTAGTAGAAGCTGGCAAATCATGAAATCAGTCAATGGTATGCTGGTCAATAGTTAATGACTGCCATTCTCGTGGAGACATCCCGAGTATGCATGTGCCAACTTCCTGTTACAAATTCTCTCGCTGGGCCTGGCAGCGTGGCCTAGCGGCTGAAGTCCTTGCCTTGAACGCATCAGGATCCCACATGGGCGCCGGTTCTAATCCCGGCAGCCCCACTTCCCATCCAGCTCCCTGCTTGTGGCCTGGGAAAGCAGTCAAGGACGGCCAAAAGCTTTGGGACCCTGCACCCGTGTGGGAGACCTGGAAGAAGTTTCTGGCTCCTGGCTTCAGATCGGCGCAGCACCGGCCGTTGCGCTCACTTGGGGAGTGAATCATCGGATGGAAGATCTTCCTCTCTGTCTCTCCTCCTCTGTGTATATCTGACTTTGTAATAAAAATAAATAAATCTTAAAAAACAAAAAAACAAACTCTTTCGCCAAGGCTGATGTGGGACAATTCTGGGCTGGCCCTGGATAGGAAGATGGCACCAGCAGGGCAGTCATGGACAGCACATGGTGGTGGAAATAGATGTGACTGTCAGCCACAAGCAGGTTCTGCCCCGGGAGACTGTCAGGGCACAGCTTGAGTTGTGAAAGGGCAGCCACCCCTCATCACTACCCCTGTGGTGCTCCCAGAATGACCCAGAACAGAGCCACACAGTTTGGGCCTCAATTTCCTTCTTGGTTTCTGTTCACATTTTCTGAGCTGCATAACACGCCATCACAGATTACTGTGACAAAACAGTACCAAGCGATGTAATTTACATTCTAAATATGAGATTGGTAAAACAAAAATGGTACAGATGGCTAGATGCTCCTACACTGAATAAAGGCTGCCTCCTTGTTAACTTCTGCTCAAGGACCTGACTTTACCCTGAAGTCTAATCTGTCTTTCATAAAGTTGCTCAAGTCAGCTTTGCCTTTTCCCTGTGACTCAGCAACCTCAGCAACAGTGGCTGGTGCCTAGGGGAGCCATTGCATAGGGCACGAGGTTACAAGGCCCGGGGACTTACTTTGGGCACTGTGTGTCTCTATGCAGCCTGAGGCCTGTCAACTTCATCTCCTCACTGTGAAAACATACAACACAGTATTCTGCTGAGTGTCAACCCCAGACATAGACACTTCCTTCCAACCTCACTCCTGGGGACTGCCCCTGTGCATACCCTGTGTGAAGACATGGCAGCTCCACTGCTCCCTGCTCCCTCTTAGAATCGGGGTTCTCAGCAGTCTTACCTACAAATGTGAAATCACATTTAAAATGTACGATGGATCTCAAATTAGTACATTTTGTCTCTCCTAGGGACCAAGGTGGAACAGCCATCCTTCAGCTGACCTATGAAATACTAACTCTGGTTGTTCTTTCCCACGTCCACTTCTAAAAGATGACATTAGGTTCCTGCTCACTGGCACCTGAGCTTGTGGACAAATCAGCACTGTTTCACCATCCCCAAGTCAACCATGCAGTGACCACCCAGGCCACATGAGGTGTCTGTCCCAGCAAAAATGTGGATGGATGGTTACTCTCACCCTCCAACTCCTTCACAGACTCCATAACTGCCAATCTTGTGCCCTGTGGCCTGTTCTCTCCCTTTCTGCTGAGACTGCCATACAAACAATAGCTACAAGACCATCACAAAGGGTCGGGCACAATAGCTCAGCAGCTAAATCTCTGCCTTGCATGCCAGGATCTCATACAGGCACCAGTTTGTGTCCCAGCTGTTCTACTTCCCATATAGCTCCCTGCTTGTAGCCTGGGAAAACAGCAGAGAATGACCCAAAGCCTTGGGACCCTGTACCCACGTGGGAGACTCAGAAGCTCCTGGCTCCTGGCTTCAGACTGGCTCGGTTCTGGTTATTGTGGCCACTTGGGGAATGAACCAGCAGATGGAAGATCTTTCTCTCTGCATCTTCTCTCTGTAAATCCTTTCCAATAAAATTAAATACCTCTTAAAAAAAAGACCATCACACAGGAATATAAAAAGGTAAATATGGAAAAAGGCTATAAAAGAATTACTTCAGGGCCGGTTCAGCAGCCTAGCAGCTAAAATCCTCGCCTTGCATGCACCAGGATCCCATATGGGCATTGGTTCTAATCCTGGTGGGATTAGAACCCTGCACCCGCATGGTGGCTTCCAGGCTCCTGGCTTCGGATTGGCACAAGCACCGCCCATTACCGCCACTTGGGGAGTGAATCAATGGACGGAAGATCTTCCTCTCTGTCTCTCCTCCTTTCTGTATATCTGACTTTCCAATAAAAACAAACAAAAAAATTACTTCATCATATATTTTCAAGTGTGTGTGTGTGCACATACACATGTACTTTAAAGAAAACAGCAACAGAGGTTTTAAAAAAATCTCAACAGTCCACAACCCAGCGTGTTAACTGTGGCTAGTACACTGGTGTTAGTACACTGTGCTGATTTTCAGGCTGTGGGCACTGACACAGGAAAATTTCTCAGATTTAATGACATTATGACATCTGAAAATTGTGGGCTAGTGTTAATTCCTGTATACAGGCCTACATACATTAGGAAAGATGATAGTCTGAAAATCAGTGATGTACAAGAAGCTAGAAAAATAGTGAATTAAATCCAGCAAAGGCAGAAATAAACAATACATGTAACAGCACAAAATAAACAACAAACAGCACAAGACAGAGAAATAAGCAAGAATTGAAACTCTGAAGATAAACCAGAGCAATGGCTGAAGAACTGGAGGGTTAGGGTGTCTCCCACTGCGGTCATCAAGTTAGTAGGACATGGTGGCAACAGCATGCACACCGATTAGAGAACCCACAGGAATTCTCAGGAAAGTGAAGTTCAGCAAAAGAACATAAAACTAAAGCAGAAAATCAATGTAATAAGCAGTATGTTCAGGTGGAATAATCCTGGAGAAGAACCTCAGCTGTAGTCATCTGTGACCCACAGACATTGAACGTGGGACAAGCCAGCGTTCACCTTGCACAGACATTCCCAGAGCACAGGAAAAACAGCGTTGGCTGTAGGCTGCTCTGTGACCTGAAGTAGGAATGTGACAGGAAGTAGGAATGTGGGCCAGTCTTCCAGCCATAGCTACAAATACTCTGAACAAGACAACAGAGTCCAGCAGTATCAGATATCTGATCAACCTTGACACCAAATTTAAAATCTCATTATCAAACCAGAAATAGGGAAAACTCAAAACTTACACAGATCATGCAGAGAACTCATAGCCAACACCACACCTGACCATGCAGTCCCTGCCCTCTGGTTAGTCACTGCCACTGCATATGGCCAGCTCTATCCTGGAGTACATGCAGCATAGAATAGGAAATAGTGTGTAGGGTCACTAGTTCAGTAGGAAGACCCAGGGCCTGTAAGTCAGCTCTGAGACACAGAGCAGGTCAGGAAGAGATGTGCTGGACACACAATAACATGGCCAATGGAATGCTCACAGGCAAGCAAACAGGCTGAATGTTTCAGTCACAGTAGGTGTTTCTAGAGTCAAAGCTGAGGACATAAATTATGTAACAAACACCTTCAGTTGTTAATGCGGTGCAGGTATAGGCATGAAACATCTGTTTTCGTTGGATGCTGATTGAAGCCATGCATGTGACTGTGATAACACAGGACAGTTCTCATTACTTCAACCCATGATTCCCCACAGTTCAGGACAGTTTTGCAATACAACATACTGAGTATACACACACATTAGGCAGGCAGGGATTGGCATCTCACCGAGACAGACACAGCAGAGAACATGGTGAGTGGGCATAAACACCTGGTCAAGACCCTGGGTCACTGGGCCAGGCTAGGGGCATATATGTCACTAGACTGAAGGCCTGGTCAGGGGGCTGGGTGACTGGGTGTGAACACCTCGTCAGGAGCCTGGGTCACTAGGTGTGAAGCCTGGTCAGGGGTCTGGGGTCACTGGGCATGAGGCCTGATCAGGGTCCTGGGTCACTGGGTGTGAGCACCTGGTCAGGGGTCCTGGTTCACTGGGTGTGAATGCCTGGTCAGGGGCCCGGTAATTGGCATGAGGGCCTAGTCAGGGCCCTGGGTCTCTGGAAATCTCAGGCGGACTTGGGTCACCCCGTGAGGGGATGCAGATGCTGCCTTCAGAGGAATGTAGTGCATGGGCAGCCCCACTGTGTCCCATCTGGCTTTTGGATGACGGGGCATGTTTTTCGAGCAGGGCAAGTTTTGTGGACTGCCAGGTGGGATTTCTATACCCACCAACAGGACTGCCGGGTGTCCGGGGAACCACAGGGACTATAGCCAGAGCAGGCAAAGCCGGCGGCTCCCAATCAACAGGTGCTTGACTTCCTGAAGCAGCAGGACTTCAGGGTCCCAACAACTTAAGATTCTTTGGCTCCTCTTCAACCTGATCTGGCTCCAGAGCAGCAGCTTCCAAAGGCGCCAAGGGAAGAATCAGGAACAGCAAACTTGGTTGGCTACAGTCAGGACATAAATTTAGCCTTTATTTCTACAGGGGACTCTCAGTGGGATTTGTGTTAAAGCAACAGTCTCAACACCAACTTTATACACTGTTATACTGGGCAGCTGAAGGAAGGAAAGACTGACTTTACTCTCAGAAGACACTCACACCGATCACATCACAAATGACAAGGCTCCTGTCCAACTATGCAGCCACTTCTTAAGTACTTTATGTTACTTAATTGTCTTCGACAAGATGAGATCCTGCACTCATTTCTGAAAGAAAATGTAATTCTGAAGTAAATGCCCAAATTTTCCAGTTGGTTTTGCATAGACTTACCAGGTATGTATTTGGAGGATATTTTTACAGTTTGGGCAGAGCAGGATGCAGCCTGAGGCAGAGTCCTTAATGGATCATCCACCCTTCTCAGGAATGTCTGGAATGCCCTACACCAACCACTGAGCCCACCAGTAGTGCTAGAGGTCATTTGAATGTACAAACCAAGGAGCTTAAGATGTATAAAGATCCAGCACTGTGAACTCTGGGAAGCCACTTGCTCCATGCGGTCACCCCGGGCCATCTCCCCAAAGGAGCAGTCCATCAGATTCTCTCCCTTAATAAAACTGCCTGATCTAGAAATCTCTCAATCGCCCCTGAACCTTACAGTGTACACACAGTTGAGCCTTGAAACTATTGGACCTGAGGCTGAAGAGTAGCCAGGGAGCACCTCCGTTGGAATATGCTGGTATTTTTCTTTCTTTTTTGAAGTGAACTTTTTGTCTGAAAAGAAAAGAGAGGAAGGAAGAGAGGGAGGTTGATAAGGTAGGTGAGAAAACAGAGATTTCATCCATCTTCTGTTTTACTTCCCAAATGCCCACAACATGGCCAGTGGTTGGGCCAGAAATGAAGCCAGGAGCCTGGAACTCCGCCAAGGTCTCCCCAGCACTTGGTCCATGCATGCACTATACTTTTCCAGACACAGCAGCAGGAAGCTGGATGTGGAGTGGAACAGCTGGTTCATGAACCAGTGTCCACATGGATGTTGGTGTCACAGGCAGCAACTTAATGCACTATGCCACAATGCTAGCCCTATTACTGTCAGGTGACTTACATGTAAACCCTCTATCATTTGTAATAGATGGAGTTTGACCTTTCATGGTATTTCCTCATAAACATACCAGAGCTTTCAAACTTGCTGCTCTCTGGCATGTCTGCCTGCCCCCTTCTGCTGGCCTCTCAAGTGCCAGCCCAGATTTCCAGACTTCTAACCAACTCCTAGTTCCTCAAACTGCGCTCTGTGGCCTTTGTGGTCTCGCACCAGGCCAAGCTGCTAGGAACCCTGGACAACAGCATCTGTCCCTGAACCCCCAGCCTGCATACTCTCCATGGTTCAGAAGTCAGTGCTGCCTCTCCCACAAATGGCTCTTATTTCTAATGCAACAGAAACAAAAACTGTGCTTTCTCCCCCAGGTGACCCAAATGGCCTCCTGAGCCCAAAGTCAAGCATCTCCATCCACCTGGCCCACAGATCTTGCCTCAGTTTTCCATCACCAGCAGGCGAGTTCACACAGGAAAAGCAAGAATTCCTGAGCTATGAATGAGTCATTTAAGACACCAGCTCCACATAATGAGGCCTGAGACAGCACTGACCAGGAAGTCCATAGGTGGGAGGACAAGAAAGGAGGGCAAAGCCACCTGGTGGAGTGTAGCGCACCAGCACCACTGAGGGGATAGCCAAGGGTCTCCTGACACTGTCTCCTCTCCACCATCTGCTACTGCAGGGAACATTCAAGAAAATGTCCATAGTTGCGAAGCCCTGACTATCCTAAGATGAAGAATTTACACTCCACAACTCTTATCATGGCTGAAGGGCATGGCAAGATCTTAAGAAAATCCAAACATCCCACAATTATCTTTCCACAGTATCCAAATTAATGAAAACAACCAAATCAAATCTTCATCCTGATTTCACACATAATATACAAGATTCACTCAGCACTAAGAAGTTGTTTAAATTCATGTGAGATCAAATGTACCAAACAGCATCTGCATAAACACAAGACAAGTCGAGCCCAATGTGACAAATTAACAACACTCAGGCTCGTGGACACGCTCAACACGGGGAAAACAGGAAAACAGAGAAAGAATTTAAGAGGATAAGGCTGAGGAGTGTGATTGCAGAGCATCGGGCTGCTGCTTACCCAGCCAAGGCTCAGCTCACAGCCAAGGGAATGGGATGGTGCAGGCAAAACCCAGTTCACCAGGGTTCAGTTCACAGTGGCTACTCAGGCAACTTGTTGGCATGCAGGCCTTTCAGGTGTCTCTATCCCTTCCTCAGGGCCTAATGTCCCTCACCCTGGTCATCCTTTCCTCTTCCCAGGCTTGCTGTCCTTCATTCCTTCATTTTCTTATTGTGCCCTCTGCCCAGGCCTGCTCTCCCTCACTCTGGTTATCGTGTCCTCTGCCCAGGCCTGCTGTCCTAAAGCCTGGACATTCTTACCTTTCCAGGCCTGCTGGCCCTCACCTCTGGTCATCCTTACCTCTCCCCCGGCCTGCTGCTCCTCACCCCTGGTTATCGTGCCCTCTGCCCAGGTCTGCTATCCCTCACCTCTGGTCATCCTCACCTCTCCCCAGGCCTGCTGTCCCTCACTCCTGGTCATCCTCACCTCTACCCAGGCCTGTTGCCCTTCACCCTGGTCATCCTCACCTCTCCCCACGTCTGCTGTCCTTTACCCTGGTCATTTTGCCCTCTATCCAGGCCTGCTGTCCCTCACTCCTGGTCACCCTCACCTCTCCCCAGGCCTGCTGTCCTTCACCCTGGTCATCCTCACCTCTCCCCAGGCCTACTGTCCTTCACCCTGGTCATTTTGCCCTCTATCCAGGCCTACTATCCCTCACCCCTGATTATCGTGCCCTCTGCCCAGGCCTGCTGTCCCTCAACTCTGGTCACCCTCACCTCTACCCAGGCCAGCTGTCCCTCAACTCTGGTCATCCTCACCTCTACCCAGGCCAGCTGTCCCTCACCTCTAATCATCCTCACCTTTACCTAGGCCTGTTGTACCTCATCCTGGTTATTGTGTCCTCTACCCAGGTCGGCTATCCCTCACCTCTGGTATCCTCACCTCTCCCCAGGCTTGCTGTCCCTCACCTCTGGTCATTCTCACTTCTCCCCAGGCCTGCTGTCCCTCATCCTGGTCATTCTCACCTCTCCCCAGGCCTGCTGTCCCTCATCCTGGTCATTCTTCACCCCTCAGTAGACCCTGTATGTGTACTGCCCCTCGTCTCCTTCAGCACTAAAAGCTTACACATTAATCTCTAATTATCTACCTGTTCCTCTTAGCTGTCTCACTCTAGAACTGTACTGCTAAGTAATAATCCACATTTAATAGAAGTACACATAAATCACACTATTATTTCTAACACATTCGCTGAAGCATAAAGCAGTATCAGTTTACCACAGTGTTCTTAGCAAAGATTCATCCGTGCTTTCTGTGACTGCATGCCAAGAGAGGTTTGGATTTTCAGTGTCTCTGTTATGGCCATTCCTCCTCTTCTCTTTCCCCTCCATTTCCCAGAGGCTGGCTAACAGTCTTTACAGATCCCTCTGCTCAATTTCTTTAGAATGAACACTGATATTCTGTTCCCACTCAGTTTCTTCCTTCCTCCTTTCCTTTCAGATTTTTAAAATTTTTATTTGCAAGAACGATTTATAGAGAAGGGAGACAGAAAAATCTTCCATCCACTGGTTTACTCCCTACATGGCCACAACAGCCAAAGCTTTGCTGATCTGAAGCCAGGAGTCAGAAGCCTCCCCTAGGTCTCCCCTGTGAGTGCAGCAGCCCATGAACCTGGGGCATTCTCCATTGCTTTCCCAGTACTCTTACGTGGGACATAGGAATCTTAATAGTTAGACTAAATACCAGTTGATTTTATAGGATTTTTAAACTAGAAAGCCAGAAATACTAATGTACTAAAAAACCGTTTTGTTTTGACATTCAATTAACTAAGTCTTATTTTGCGGTTTTTTTAGTTTATACTTGCCAAAAATCATCCAGGAAAAATTTCTATTTGAAACCCTACATTATTCTCAGTTTTCAAATGGCTAATTTGAAGAGGAATAGCAACCATTTCGCTTTTCAAGGGTTAGGGTTAGGCTGAGATCAGCGGTGACTTGGTCACCTCTTGGGACAGCAGCATTCCGTAAAGCTGCTCTGCTTCTGGTCCTGTTCCCTACGGATGTGACACCAAAGGCAGCAGTGACGCCTTGTGCTTGGGTCTCTGCTGTCACGTGGGAGACTATAATGGAGCTCCCAGGCTCTGTCATCAGCTTGACCAAGTCACCGATTTCTTGGGACACTTGGGGAGTGACCTTGCAGATGGAAGCTCAATCTCTCTTTCTTTGCCTTTCAGATACATAAAACAATCTTCTAATAATCTTCTTCTTGGTTGTAAAATAGGTAACCAGACACAGGGTGGCTATTTGGGTAATGATGTGATTAACTACACCCTTTAAATACACAAAGTTAAGATGATTTACCTGTGAATTGTCCACCTTCCCCACCCCATCTTTTTACCTTCTGCTTCTTCCCCAGTGGACACACTGGCAGAGTCCAGGCAGCTGGGTGTGTTAGGCAGATACCCATCAGGAGGAAGGCTCACAGTGTAGAAACGCCTCTCAGGCAGGCAGCTGATGTCATCATCTGTAAGGATAAAAGGGACACAAGAAATCAGTGAGTCTCACAAACCGTTCCAACTGCCTAGCATTGCTTCTCCAGCCCAGTTCAGCGACCCGCTGCCATATACACAGGTCTGTGAGCCAAGGCTGTACCTCAGCTACTCAAAAAGCCAGGAAGAATGAACAGTCGACAGCACCAAGATTCACCTGAGGTTACGTATCAGACAAACTTCTGAGTTTTTACCACTGAGATCAGGCATTACTAAGCCACATATTTAAACAGAAACCCAAGGCAGAAGTTTTCTAGAACCTCACTCCACATCTGTACTTTAGTGTACACGTCCTCACAGCACGTCTACACCGTGTGTTCACACATCAGTGTGCTGGCCCTCACAGCATGTCTACACCGTGTGCACACACATCAGTGTGCTGGCCCTCACAGCATGTCTACACCGTGTGCACACACATCAGTGTGCTGGCCCTCACAGCTTCCCTGTGAACAGAAATGAGCAATTCCCAGGCATCAACTGGAAGGAGAGCCATTTGGCTCTATGGACACACAATTTAAATGGATGCCCTCCCCAGCCACTTTCTTCACCGAGGTTGGGTTCCACATTCCTGTAGCCAACCCTGACCAGAATGGAAAGAGGAATGTTTGCTGTACAACCTCGTGACGCAGAAAGATGGGAGTCAGTTCACCCTGGTTTCCACCTGTCATTAAGGCTCAGCACCTCTTCTAAGGGCTGAGCCAGCTGTGAGTCTGGCCTGGGGGTTGCCTTATACCCCATCTTTCCTGTGTCTCTCTGGAAATGAAGACCAGGTGAGTAGCAGTTTCAATAATTTTCCACTTTATTATTTGTTTTTACACACACAAAAGAATTCTAAATCTTATAAGGTACAATTGAGAATCTTTCATCTGTGCTCAAAGCACAATGTTACAGTACCTTTATGTTTCCATTGAGGATTTCAGTTGTGGTTCCATTCAGAATGCAAAGAGCTTAGGTAAACTGTTGGTTGTAAAATATTTTTCACCCTACCACGCACTGAGAGTAGCCACACACATCTATGTTCTGATGACAGTGCATAAACACGTTGCAGATCATGAAGGCGGACACTTCACCTAATGTGCCTGAGCTGTTAGGGACGCAGATTTCTAATTGCAGCTCTTATGCAAAGGTCCCCACTTCAGCCACACACGGACTGGAGGACACCAGCAGCAGAAACACTTGTTATCTACCCTGTCTTCCTATTTCACCCACATAATGATTTGAGAACATCAACTGAGACACACCACATGCCCTCTCCACTCAGCCAAATGAAAGACTCCAGGACCACCCAGGACACACTGCCTGCACTGTCCTGAGTCACATGACAGACTCCAACCCTGTTACCCGACACACTCACCACCTGCTCTGTCCCCTGAGCCACACTAAAGACTCCACACCCCGCCCCCCCTACCTAACACACTTACCACCTGCCCCTGTCCTGAGCCACACTAAAGACTCCAGCCCGGCTACCTGAGACACACCCACCACCTGCCCTGTCCCCTCAGTGCAGACATGGTCATCATCCCAGACCCTGGGAAGGTGAGTAATTCTGATGCAGACTTAGTTGTAGGGGGTCAGATTAAGTTCCACCTAGCCAGTGGGCCTCCTGTGTCCTCCAGAGGACTGCCAGGAGTTGAGCGCTCAGCTCCTCACAGGGGCCACTAAGCGTGAAGTGCAGGGCATATTCAGACACCTAGTTTCCCTGACAGGGGCCAGCGGTATGTGTGCTGATGGAGACGATGAGAAGCAGAGCAAGCTCCTGGGCCTTGGTCGGAAGGCAGCATCCGCTCTCTGGAACAGGAAGGAAGGTAAGCAGGTGGTGTGGGTACTGGCAGGCAGCTGTACGTCATGTGGTTTGCGAACGAGGCCAGGCTGGCAAGCATGACACCACAACCTGCATACATACCTACAGTGATGTCATCACAACAGAGAAAGCCCTCAAGGGAGTGAATGTGGACCAGAGAGGAAGGCTGGAAGTTGGCTGTGAACAGTTCCTGATGTAACAGTCAGGGAGGATCACCGTGTGGAAACAAGCTCCACATTTTTCTATTTGCTCTGAACGTCACCTGCAGAGATGCTATCCTAAATGGCGTCTCCATTGGGCATGTGGCTCTTTTCTTGAGTTCCTACTGACAAGACAGCACAGAAGGCAGAAGAACTGCCTTCATCTGCAGATTTCAAATTACAAGTAAGGTTCTCTCTGGGTCCTCCTGTCTGCAGGCCACAGATTCAACCACTGTGCTGAGTTATTGGCAGCTGCAGCTTGGTCATTTGCTATGCCTTACAGTAATCCACACAGCAGCTAGAGGCACCTCAGTACAAGGAGCGGAAGGTGAATTATCCTCAGAGAAAACCAGGAAATGGCATTTCCTACACATATAGGATAAATGGCAAAACATTTCTACAAGGGCATGCATGTGACGCCCAGCCTCTGTCCTGAGGCAAGCTGGCCTCTCCTGGAATCAGGGAACTCCACATGATTAAATCCATGGGGATAAGCGTCAGGAGTCAGTAATCTCCTCCACAGAGGAGTACCAGAGCAAAACCTTGAGCAATGCAGCCCCTGCTTCTGCACAGGGTCCTCTCCCAGGAGGCCAAATGACCTCTGCCCAGTGCAAGAAACCCTGCTACCATCCCCATTTCTCACAGAATGTGGCCAGATGAGCTTGCAGTGGACAGAAGTCGCTTCACCCCAGTTTTCATTAGATGTGAAACAATGCCAGAATCCAACTCCTCAGAACACACATGTGTTGCCAGCTGCATCCGTATGCACTGGCCACATGCCGTACCCAAAATGGCGCCGGCCGGAGAAGCCACACCTTGGTGCCTGGTGGAGAGTCACATAGCTTTCGTAGTACTGCGCAGGCACCCAGCACACGCGCAGTGAACTACGGCATGACCGACTCATGGCCGGCGCGTGAACACTGGGGACTGGCGAATCCGGTCGCCCAGGACCCTGCGTGATCATGACGCTAACCTATCATTGGCAAGGGCGGAGCCGGTCAGCGCATAAGAGCAGGCAGCCTGCCGGGGTCGGGGCCCTTTCCTCTTCCTCATCTTGGTGTGCACAATAAAGACTACCGCAGAAGACTTCACTCGTGTCTGCCTCTTATTGTGGGACGATAGGAGTCGTGGGCGCGACACACATGAGTACACACAGACACACCAGAAGGTACCTGGGCACACATACGGAACCCCATAACCAACCCCTGCATGCTGTGACTTCACAGCAGTCATGTTCTGTCGGTGAACACATCACCACCTCCTCAGCCACCCTACCATCCTACAGCGTGCTTCACATACTCTGCCTGCACACACATGAACCTTCACAGCAGCACTGCCTGCACTGGGGTGTCTGCTTTTAAAAACTGGGCAGTTTGTATTGGCTGCCCCTGAGACGAATGACAGACTGAGCAGCCATTAGCAGCCTGGGTGCAGATGGGTGGCTTCTTCCACTGGGTCCCCAGCTAGTCCTGGTCCTATAAACATCCCTAGACCAGAGACCTCCATTTCTGATGAGAAGAGGACAAGATAACAGGAAGTTGTCCTGCAAACAGCAGAAAATGTCCAACATAGCACATGCTCCCTGACTCTCCATGCAAGGCAAGCCAAAGCTGTAAATGAGGACGGAAGGCAGACACACACACCCGTCATAAGACCAAGACCAGGTGTCCCTGCACTGAGTTGACACAGAGCGGTGAGGAGGTGGGACAACCAGAGAGGCAGGTCATGGCCTCACAAAGCAGACGTAATCTCAACACAGAACTTAAAAAAAAAAAATTTTAAGTCTCTTTGTTACCAGAATATAGAAATACTTCTTCAATGATACAAGAAAAAAACAGGAAGCATAAATATCTATAAACTGCAGTACAGTAGCCTCCAAATTAAGATGTTACTTTTAAAACCAGACAATCCATATAGAGATGTTCTGATACCATCTGCCCAACTGGCCAAGAACTGGAGCTTGCAACACACACAATAATTCCTAAAATATGAGTTAATTAACAAGCCAATGAAGCAGGCCACACACCTGGATTCACAGGACATGCACTAATGCCAGTGTCCAGCAGTGCACAAACCTGTGACCCAGCACCGAAGTACAACCACATGTACACAGGCCTGGCAACTCTTACCACAGGCACCAAGAGAAGCAGACTTTACCCTAGGCATACATGGAGAGACTTCCCACAGAGCAGGACCCAGAAGGGTTTGTGACATGTCAAAGGAAGGGCCATTTAGGAGGTCCAGGAAGCAGACACCCACTTTCAGTCAGGAGGCAACAGCAGATGGGCAGAAACCCACGTGACAGGGTGGGAGAGACAGGCAGAGCAGAGCAGAGCAAAAACAGTCCACCAGAAAGGGACCCAGATGACACCATGGGAAAGACGGGTAGAGGACAGTCAGTCCACAGAGAAGGACCTACGTGGCACCATGCCTTTTAACTGTGAACCTAACACTTGTTTAAAAGCCACCATGTAAAAATTCTAGTTTTGCTGTACCATAGATATTTGAGTATAAATTTTTAATTTTCTCTTTCATACTCCTCTAATAGAACCTGAACACTACAGCAAACTGACAGGTGTCTTCTCCCAGCTTGACATCTTGAAGAGGGATAGGTGTCCTGCCGGTGATTTACATGGAGCTTCCTGCCAATGTAGACCCTAGAGGCTGTGGGAGGGGGTCGTGATCACTAGAACAAAGAAAGCTGTGAAGAGAACGCTCCCCTGCTGGCAAGGCCACAAGGAGCTCCCAGTTGTATGGCAAGGCTTGGTAAATGTTTCTTCAATTACTTCAGTGCAGTTTCACAGACATTCAACTACCACTAAAACATGTTGATGCATAGTTGTTTGCCCTTACGAGGTGGTCTCTGTAACTGATGTGAGCTTAGGAGCTAATGTCATGAACAATACCTTGGTGAGTGGGCCTTTAACAATGTATGCTGTCTTGGATGCTCCCATGATCCCTTGGCCAGAGGAGC